ACTCATTCATGGTATACAGTTATTCCCAGCGGCAGTGAGTCAAATAGCACAGAGGGTTTAAAACGGTATTTTCCTTGTGTATTCAAAGTTAATGATGTCTTTTAGTCTGTGGATTTCCTAGTGTGCAACCCTACAGGTAACTTTAAAAAATGGCTGGTAAATATCCTTAAGAATACATTCTGAATATATTAGTTATGCTTGAAACAGGCCTGCTTCTCTGAGTTTGTGTTAGGGAGACAGTTGCTGTATATTTAACTGGATTTTGAACATCTTTTTGTTGGGTTTGAAAGAAATCTAAACTCCGCTTAACTGCTATGTTTTTATAGTCATGAATTTCTAAGTTTATTTCCTTATATTAGTTATGGTTCAGTAGAGAATTCCTTATGGCATTTGCAGAAATGCTGTTAAATACATACAGAACGTCTGTATCCTCCAGTACCGTATATTAAACTTTGAAGTATATGAAAATATTCTTCTCTGTATTGAATTGCTATCCACCATTTGTGGCTGTTAACTACTTCTGAGTCAGAAATGCTGTCATTCCACTGTAAAACAATAGCAATTGAAAGCATTGAATGTTCACAGTATCTATTCCCTCATTATGTCTCTGCTTGTTTCCAGTTTGTTATACATATACAGTTTAATTAGGAATGAACCAGGAGAAGAAATGGAGCCTTACTTTCAACAGCTGCACCAGACTGTTCCCTGTACCCCAAAAATTCTTCCCCTCTGTTGTTTTTTCTTTCCTGCCACCTGTGTTCTTGCTTTGTTTGAACACACTTGTTGTAGTTGTTAGAAGGTTGGGTTTTTCCTTGCAAACTACAATCCAGTGACTATCCAACAAAGTGGGAAAATCAGATGAAACCAGAAGATCATGTGTGTTATCCCTGATTATTGAGTTGAAATGTATATAAATTATTCAGTAAAATGCTTTCCTTGATGTTTCTTGCAATGGTATTTACACACAGCACTTGCATTGTGTGCCTTGATATAAGTTTATAAAGTGAAGTACAGAACTGCAAAATTTCTTGATAAGCACTTAAAGTGTCCTTGTCTGACATTTTAGTGAAGGTTAGGAAGCTGATGTATCAGTATTTTGAGAAAATTTAGACCAATTACTATGTAAAAAAAGCAATGGATAATGAATATATTGGACAAAATCTTTTTCATGTGCAGTGTAACATATTTGTAGAGTTTATAATACTTTATTATGAAATGGGCAGCACACTATTCCATATTCTGGTATTCAGAATTGGCTAACGTGTTCTTTAAAGCCTTGCATTACTTTGCAGTATTTATATTGGAACCAAAGATAAATTTGAGTGCCCTCAGATTTCCTGAAGGTTTTACCTCTAGACCTACTGAACAACTGTAAACATGGAATTTATGGTCCATTAAGGCATCTCTCTGTTGATATTTTGCAGTGCACACTGTAATAAATAATATATGAGACCTTAAAACACTGTAATGTAGTGTCAATTTAACAATCCTTGACAGGATTTTTTTTTATTTCTTTGCATGAAATGTGCCTGAATGTAGTTTGCTTCTTAGCTTTTTAGACTTCAGTTTCAGTCAGCTATTGTTTTTTCAAAAGGCATTTTAATATAACCTTGTCTGGGAATGTGACCTGATGTCTCAGAGCTAAAGGTTTTTGTCATTATTCCCTGTGGAAATTTGGTTTGTGGCCTATTGTTTCATTCCGTAGGTAGATGTCAGCAAAGGGCAAAGAGCAATCTGAAAGATGAACCTTTTTCCTCAGAAAAAAAAATGTATTAGCAAATTGCCAGTGTTAATGATTTAGTGAGAGATATTTGTACATCTCACATTGCCTGCAAAAATGTTAAAATAAGATTAGAAATCTTGGTATTGAAATTGAGCATGTGTAGGCTGTTGTCAGTAGGCTCCTGTGAAAGGGTCCTAATTCACTTCTCTCTCATACTGTACATATTTTGTACCAGCAGTAATCTACAATCCTAAGTGGTCATCCTTTACACAATATTTAAGCATTTTACAAACACAGCACCTCAGAGCACTTGCTTCACTGGTTTACATTTCTAAAGGAACGGTCTTTGCTGCATTTATAGCTCTTTGGATGTCTGGAAGAAGCTACCTAGCCAAGTGATACCTTGGCTTCCTTCAAGAAATAGCTGTTAGTAACTAATCTGACTGATGATCTCATCCATCCAAGTGAACTAAATGGGCCTTTTCTTGTTTTTTATGTTTTCAAGTTTGACAAAATATTTAATGGGAAAATAACTGCTTTATATAGATGGTTCAATTTATTTGAATTTAAAATGGAGTTATACTTGAGTACCAAGACAAGTATGACTTAAATATGCTTGAATATAAGCATTCCTATATGCATTAACAATGTATAATAAAATGCTTTTTTCATATATTTGTCTTTTCTGCAACACTGCTAATCAAGATTAGATTTCATAAGGCAGAATTTCCACTGTATTTTGGTTCTCAAATAATATTCTGTGTGGTGAAATCAGACTTGCTTTAAGCGTTTATACGGCCTTTATGGGAATCTGGTGAGTGAGATGGCTGGTATATCAGAGGCTGCAGTCCCCCAGAGTCAGCACAACGCCTGTTCCAAAGCTGTTTTCAATGCTAATGCAATTTTGTGAAAGAACAGTGGGTGTGCATTGTAGGCCAAAAGCTATTGAGATCATGAGGACTAATAAAAACTCCCTTGCCTGAAGCAGCCATGAACTTTCATTGGCAGCATTTTACCCAGTAAAAACTATAGTTCTATATACCTTTATTGAGATGTACTATATGAGCAACAGGAATCAATACAGAAACTGGTATGCAGTGAAGTTGCAAAGCTAAGATTACTATAATTAGATTTGTATAAAACCATGTATTATTAAATTATATTAATAGGATGTTTTGTGTAACAGCCTATATTACTATGAAAAGTACACATTAATATCTTATTTATAGTGAAACATTTTAGCTTTGGAACCTAATAATACATACTATTTCTGCTCAGTTGGAAAGCTGAATGGGCTTCAGCATGGCTTAAGTTCAAGAAACATTTCTCATTTTGGGCTGACAAAATCCCTCATTGAGAAACAAAGGTTTTTAGTTTTGTCCATCCACAAATTCAATGTCCTAATCCCTGTTGCTTTTCATAGATTATTTACTTTGTGTCTTGCTTGACGAGGAAAAAATTTAGGTAAATCTGATTACTGCAGAGTACTTGTATCGGTTGAAATGCATATACATTTAGTGTTTATATGACAAATGGTGTTAAATGGAGATAACATTTTTTTTTGGAAAATAAAGAATTGGAATCATAGTTTTGTACAAGATCTTTGCTTTCTTCCTTAAGGTACCACCTTTCATTCTTTCTCATGCAGTGCAGCACATTTCCAAAATGGAATTGTTTCTGTTGCTTTCGAGTTGTCGTAAATAAATAATCTTATGCTCATGCTTAATGTCAGTAACTGAAATCATATTATCATCATTTTAGTAAACTAGTTTGTAAATTCGTATCAGTTTTGGAAAAGATGGTGATCAAGCACTAATTGTTTTTAAAAAAAAAGAATTTACGGGTGGAGTTTACTCTGGGGATTAAAGTCAGAACTACACAACTGAGGTCTTTGGGGGTTGAAAAGGTTACATGAAGCAGATGTTCTTTAGTCCAGTAAATGGGAAATAAGAAATGGATTGTGTAATGGGAAAGGAGACTTTGCTTCTTCACATAGTAAAAGTTTAACCAGCTCATGATGAGTGAACCTAGCAAGGGTTGAATGTTGTCCTGACATTAAGCTACATACTTCAAGTATCTTTACAGGGCATATTGTGAGGCAGAATCAATGGTAAGGAGAATGAATGGTCATTGTAACTTGTCTGTCTCATTGTGTGTAGATAGTAAAACATGACAAACCAACTTTAAGCAGATTGGATGTCCACTGGAGTATTGACCAGTGGAATCAGTACATTAAATAGTAGTTTACAGCCCTTAAAACTGAAAACAAGGTGTCCTTTTAAGGGGTTACCACCGACTGGAGTGAGATTATGAGAAGGATATTGTGGGGGTCAGATCTAGGACCATTGCTTTTCCTATGCTATAACATAAGAACTTAAGAAAGGTTACAAATGGGCCATTTGACCTATCAATCTTGTTTGGTAGATAGTCGCTAATTAATCTCAGAGTAAAAGACGCCAGGGTATCTGGCTTCAACAGCATGGCTGAGTAGCTTGTTCAATGCTCGCAAAACCCTGAAGTGTCTGCTGTTCTGGGTTTTAAGAACTTCCGAACAGCTTCCACTGTCCTGTGGTTCATGTTTCACTGCTGTTTTTTGATCTTTAGTGCGTACTAGTGTCTTGTCTAATTTGTAAATGGTACGAACAGGTGGTGCTACAAATACTTTAGCAACACAGTGGGCAACATAGGAAGGCATAGACAAAATATTTGACTAGACAGACACATGGCAAATGAAATTTAACACTGATAACTCCAAAGCAAGAAAAAGATTAATTCAAATATCAGATGGATAATATTGAAGTGGAATATGTACCAAGTGATATGTGCCGAAGATATGTGTGCTAGACTGTGAAACACCGTTAAAAAAACAGTAAAATGCTTGGATAAACTAAGAGAATAGTATTAAATGAAGTGGAGGCATGTTAAACTTGTATGATGTATTGGTTGGACCTTAGTTGGGAATATGGTGCTTAATTTGGTCAATATCCCACAAGAAAGTATTGTAGCTTTAGAGGCTGTACTGTGGAGTGCGATTGTGGTTATTTCTGGCCTGAAGAGAAAGTCATTCTGACGCATACTAAGGCAATTTGTTGTGATGGTCATTAACCGTTGTCTTTAAAACTAGAAAGGAACCTCAAGTTTAATATCTGCTACTTGGCACCTACTGTATGTCTACATCTTGAAGTAATTTTTGTGCCATTACTCAACCATGGATAGATTGTTGAAGATACTGCATAAGTGAAAATTCTCACTCTTGCATTTTTTACATTTTTTTCAGAACTCCATGAACCTTCCTCCAGATAAAGCACGATTATTGCGCCAGTATGACAATGAAAAGAAATGGGAACTTATTTGTGATCAGGTAAGTTTTTGTCCTGTATTAAAGTTTGATGTCCTAATGAAATAGATTTGAGATGTCACTTTATGCTGTCAGTACAGTCTCAAATGTCACTTTATATTGTATCATTACATCTGTTATTCTACCCTTTTGTTCTTAATTTCTGATTTTTACATAAATCACATGTTCATGTTTTAAACCTTCCATTATCTTAAGTCATACTTGTAGCAGAGTTTTACTCCAAATTAAACTGGATAAACTGAATACTGTACCTAACAGGAAAGAAAATAAAACATGTTCCATAGCTAATAAATCACAGAATGATATCCCATGTGGGAAGACAATCTGCTTTCCTAAGTTACTACTGTCCTACTGATTCTTTTTTTTCTGATCTTTTTTCTTTTTTGTCTATTGTGTCCTAATGCTTTTTAGGCTCAGATTTTTGTCTCTGATCTCTTGATTTTGTTATAATTTTTTTTGTCTCTAAATGTTATTATTCTGTAAATTATTATTATTTCTCTGGAACAGTTAAGATATTTGAAGTCATGTTGTGTTAACATTAATAATTAAAATATATATGTACAACATTGTAGATGTAGTATTAGAAATACTGGGTTTTTCCTTCAGTGAAAGTGTTGTGGGTCTGTCCCAGGACCTTTTCTGCCTCACTGAACACAAGAAGTAAAGGAGAATTATAAAAAAATATATATAGTTTTATGTTCAAGGGGTATTTTTCATACAAACATACAGTATGAAAAAAGCTCTAAAAGTCTCACGTTTTCACATCTTTAAAATATTTTAAGAACTATTCCCATTCTAAGGGCAGCTATATAAATGGAAATAAAAACAATAATTCATAGCCTTTCACAGTGGGATTTAACATTTGTTTTTCCATTTTTGTAAGGTCGGTATTGATAGACGTCTGCCAGTCATATGTGCTACCTATCTCCTGAATCTTTCTTTCGTTTCTGCTGCAGTTCATATTCAGTGTGTTATGTTCCCTAGTTGCAGTGTTGTGGCTAATAATAAGTCTGATCAGGAGACCTTTATAGGTTGGTTTGTGTAGTTACTCTATATATGCTTTCTATATACTGCTAAAAGCTGTACAGAACGTCTTATGTAACTATGGTAACTATGGCATAAAGAATGGATATGGTTGCTCAGCTATAGTTGACAAAAACATGTTCACTTACAAAATATTTCTCTCTGGATCTTTTAGGAAATCTAATGACTTATTAAATATGAAAGATTCTATGAAAATATAAAAGATTGTCAAAGGGGAGAAGCTACAATACAAACAATATTAAAAGCAATTGTTATACATTGAAGCAAAGCCATGTGTAAAATGCATAAAATGAATTAATACATCAGAAGTAATAAATAATTTGCTTCTGAACCGATAGAAAAAGATGCTCCTTGAAAGAGTCTGACTAATAGAGTGGCTTGGATGACTAATGCAGCTATTCTAAAAAAGACTTCTCTCAAATCCCTCAGAAAGGGATTTAAAAATGCCTTTGGCTTCTTGGTTTTCTCTTGACTGCTTTAGTGATCGCAGTTCAATTTTAGATTAGGCTCACTCTTAAGAAAGAATGTGTTTAGCATATGTTTTTTTTGTGGATGGGTCTCTTTTAAATGGAAATTTGCTGCTGTACTAAAATTTCAATAGGCTGACACAAAGTGAGTTAATGTGTGAATTAGGGTGCAGAAGAACTGATAATGCTATAAGAAATGTATACAGATATGTAGAGATGCCATGTTTATGATAACCATTATAGTAATGAGTGAAAATACGAAGTCCGCAATGCTGTGTTTGAATATCCTGAAGAGTTTTGTGTTTTTTCCTCTCTTTGAACTTTCTCTTCTTCTGCACTAAAGCATAGCCTCCAAGGAGCTGTGGGATTTTCTCTGGAATTTAGATGATTCCTAATTAATAGGATGATATTCAAATGTAACACTTTTATCTGCAAGCTATGGATGTGGCAGAAATCTCTTGGCGCTGACCGTTACATAATCAGGCTTTAACTCTTCTTTCTCAAAACCTATCAAGAAGCAGAAAAAGTAGAATTAGCAACTGTATGATTTTATTTTATTATTTATTTTCATTTTATACAGTGCCTCTCAAGTTATGACACATCAAGAGTGTTTTACTGTGGAGGCAGCAAATCATCAGAGCATGGGTAGAAAGTATATAGTGAGGGACAGGAAGAATATAAAATAGCGTTTCTGTTTTTAAAGTTTGGAAATGCTACCCTGAAGAAACGTGTTTTTAATTGGCACGGTTAAGGCACATTTTTGTAGAAGTCTGTTGTAGTGCATTTAGAAGCACCAAAAACAGTGCAATACAGTAACTCATTCAAGGGAACCTACTGTAGAGGCACAGACCAGTTTGTCAGCATCTGATTGAGACTGAATAAGTCACATCCAGAGGGACACCTCTGTAATATTTCTGACGGAAATCTCATATGAGATAAAAAGAACACCAAGAGTATTTGAGCTGTAACTTATTGAAGGGCATGATACTAATAAAGTATTAATTGATTTACCCAATGTGATATATCATTAGCTCTGAGTTGTTTATTTCAATTGATTTATTCTGTATGCTGCACTGATCTCTTATGTACATCCTGTTTAACGGTCACAAAATAGTGAAAATCCTGAGTTTCTCTATACAGGAATGTAAGTTTCCTTCCCTTTGCCATTATCTATTCCTGTTATTAAAACAGACACACTTGGGCATCAGTGGATTAAAGAAACAGTGTCATTTTTATACTAACCTATTCTTTCAAATTTTTCTTTGCTGTTGCCCACTTTTTTCTGGAATACAATACAGTCCTGAAAGATCTTTCTTCCAGTTCTTCAACAACATGTTAATCTCATTAATATGAATACGTGAGGCTCCAAAAGAAATGACCTTAAAACCTGCTGTCACCGCTGATTCCTCATGGAGAACTTTACAGGGCAGTAAAGTGAGGTTGATTGCAGCTACCATAAATCAGGATTATGTGTACAGTGCTTTTGAGAGTTGATGGAGCGCATAATTGCAACATCAACAGCAGTCGATGACAGTGATTTTAAGCTCTGTGCCTCACACAGCACTTTTTTTTTTATTTGTTGGAGTTGGTAACATATGGAATGACAATAGGATGAGACAAGATGAGTTAGCCCACATTTTTTTTGTATTTGTTATTGCTTAAGTAGTTTTTTTATGCAGATCTTTAAGTGCTCCCGAAATGAACAGCTTGTTTATTAAACTGCAAAAGAAAAACTGATAAATATCTGCAGTGATCTGGGATTCTTATCTTCATAAAAAGGATTTAGCATTGAATTGACCGTTTATTGGTAACTGTGGATACTAATCCAAGCAGGACAGCGAATTTAGAGAGTTACAGTGCTGCTTGTTTTCTCCATGCTGAGTAATTAAACTTAATGAAGCTCATGCATTAACTGAGTTGGCGTTATAGAAGGTGTTATGAAGAGCCAAAGTTTTGCCAAAGTGCTAGGAAGAGTCAGAATGTTCGTTGAAAAAGTATACAGTAAAAACACTGTATGAGCACATGCTGAACACTAATCCAAACGCCACATGTTTGTGTTTGGGGCCTGGGTTGTGTCATTATTCCACTGTGACTGGGATTCCTTCAGTGGCAAAATACAACTGTCCAAACAGTGCCAAGCCTGGGTGGGTTTGAGTCGGCCAGGTGGTCCTTGGCTTGCCAGGCAACAGACACTTGTAAGACTTGTATGTTGTCTCAAACCTGCAGTTTTGTCAGTGAGAGGCATATCACACCTCCTGTCAAGGGAGGTCATTCAAGGGATTTACAGAGTGAAAAATGGTGTGTGGCACTGCCAGATCACTTTTTAAGATAGTCTTCATCATTCCTTTGTTGTCATTTAAAAAAAAGATGCAAGAACTCTCCAGAAATACTCTGAACCCATATCACTTTTTGTTACCCAAACTTTAATATATAAATTAAAGATTCCAAACTAGTATTTTAGTTGTGAATGGTTAATTCAGTATTGATCGGAGTATCCAGATGCCTTGCTCATGTATGGTGCAGCTCTGATGTTTGTTCAAGTTTAAAGTATGCAAGTTGTTTACATTTTACATATTAATATTTTTAATTTTAATCTCTTTTCCAGGAAAGATTTCAAGTGAAGAATCCTCCTCACACATATATCCAGAAATTAAAGGGTTATCTTGACCCAGCTGTCACCAGGAAGGTAAGCCCACTATTGTTTGAGTTAGTGCTTTAGGTTCCACATTGGCGACGTTTCCAAAGCAGTGGACTCTTCCTTCCCTTAACCCCTTCAAGACAGGATTTCCTATCACCAGTAAAGAAAGTTTCCTTTTAAAATGCGCAATACACTATTATTTTTAGAAAATAAAGAGCAACGCTGTTGTGAAAATGCACTATTTCAAGGACTGATGCAAATGTCTTTGAAGATATTAGCCTGGCAAAATTACAGAACAATTATCCTTTTTTTTTTCATTTCTGTAGAATATTTTTTTTTCTTTTGATTCATTTTCTTTTAACCTTTAATAGTACATTTTATTTGTGAAAATGAATTATTGCAGTATTGCTTAAGCCAGGGTCCTGGAGGACTGGTGTGTCTGCAGGTTCTCTAGATTTCTTTAAGATAGCCTTACTTGAAGAGCTCGGAGAAGCTGGTAAAGTGGTCCAATTTAGCTGGGAGCAGGTTAGGAGCTGAGTTAGAAGGAATGCCTGCAGGCCTAGCAGCCCTCCAGGACTGTGGTTGGACTACCTTAATTTAATCTGGGCTCATCTTAAAATAATACTTCAAACTGTTAATAGTTTTTGCTGTAGATAACTACCCTATTTTGGATGCGATTCAGTTGCCTGCAAGGAATACTGTCAGAACTGTTAAAGATTTAAATATTTGTTGAATTTTTTAAAGACTTTTCTTTAATGTCCAGCTGTTTTCAGTCTGACTGTTTTAACTTCTGTGAAGTTCTGGTGAAAGCCTTACTGTTGAAATGTAGCAACACAAACTAAGAATTTGACACTCCAGGTGTCCTTTGCAAGATTAAAGTGTTGAGGGTTGTATCAGAATAGTAGGAATCTGAAACGGACAGACCTGTAGCTAAGACACTTTAAATGTGTGTTCCTAACTATAGCCAGTGTGTTTTGCACCTTCACTGATGTTTTTTTTTAACTTCATAATCCTGTAATCTTCTTAGATCAATTTGTAGTGATTATATAACAGATTGTTAGATTTACTTTAGAAGATTGACATGCTATATGTTCTTGAATCTTGAATGCCCATAGTTGAAGAAGAGAGATTGAAAGATAAATCAGAAGCACTGCCATTCTGCACTCAGTATGTTTCAGGATTTGTTGAAGTACACATTGTCACACAGAAACAAAACTGAACAGAGGACTGAAAGGCAGAATTCCAAAGTGGGAGGATCTGCATCAAATGCGGAGAGGGGTCAGGCGTGCGTTTCACGCCAAACAGCTCACACTGCTGAGATGTAATGATTTAGAAAACACTAGATGTTCTGTATTAGAAGCTTTTTTCACTGGTGAGGTTTTTCTTTAGTTCACATCAATACAAATGTAAGCTAATTGATGTTAAATCACATACAAATATTTTGTTAAATGGAAATGAGCAGCTAGTGACTATTTTAATACAGTAGTCCATCTGGTGTGTTTTACTTAACTGTACAGCTGTGCAGATCTGTGTTTTCCTCTTAGTTTCTTAGTTGTGGTGTCTCAGCAAGGCTTCACCTTGTGTAAAATATGCAGCTTTCCTAAAAAGGATTTAATGTTGCTGATGGAGATCAGTAGCTGGACCGATAGTGAGAGTTATGGTTTTACATTCCTGTTCAGCCCCCTTTTCTTTAGCCTCAAACAATTGCTACTTTGTGCTTCTGTGAAATAGCTCTAGGTCATTCCCTCCTTTTTACATATGCAGGCTAGCACATTCCTTCAGCACTCGAGCCTATTCGTAAAAGAGAAGGAAAAGGCTCATTCCAGAAAAAAAAACCCTGAAGAATGCCTGGGCTATTGATTTGTTTTCAGGATGACCCCTGTTTAAAGTGCTCTTCACAGCAGCTGTTAGTACTTAGTAAAGAGTTGTGAGTAATGTGGGACAGAACATGTGCAACTATGCTAACATATGACCTCTACAGATGCTTTGGAAAAAAAACTATTTTAATGAAAAGCAAGAGGTTTCTTATACATATATGCCAAAACATTACAAAACTAAAGGGAAATGTATTCAGAAATGCCCTTCCCTTTTTATTTAGACCGAAATATAGAATGAGTGAATGTAGTGTTCTCACAGTCCTTCTGGGGAAATTTATATTTTTGCTTTAGAGACATTATTTTCCCTCCTGCTTTCCTGCCGTTGCTAGGGCAAAGCAAAGGAAATTCTGTCGGTTCTGTGGTAAATTTCAATGTAGCGAGTTGTGCTCATTTCAGTGAAAGCAAAAGCAGTACAATAAGAAGAACAACAAAGATGAAAATAACATACATTTACCTTCAAATAAACGGATGTGATTGCTCATCCTCCAAAAAAGTAATCTGTACACCATTTAAAAAATTAAAGCCAGTTCTCAGTTGTCCTGTAACCAGTTTCTTTGTTTGGGTTTTGGCTTTCTAAGAATAACAATGTAACTAAACCCCCCCTGCCCCCTGACTCCCCCACCAGACTGTTATGTAATTAATACACACTCGGGCAGAGGATGATTCAGCTTACTAATGGATTACCATATGCTGTGGTCACAGCTTTGGTTACCATGGGAGCAGCTAACAGGACTGAAAGGGAGGACCTGTCTTTAAAATATCACATCCTTAAGCAGAGGCCTCAGTTAATTGATTTAATTCTGTGAGCGAGGAAAGAAAAGCAACACCTACATAAAACAAAGAAGCAGAGAAACGGGGAATACAGATGGAGATTGAATATACAGAATTTGTCTTTGAAATTAATTGCACAATGATAATAGAAGCTCATAATTAATATATTAATTCAGTGAAAGCACTGTAGTGCAGGTTAGCATAACGTTTTTTTTTTCACTTAAATTTAAGAAAAAGCTATTTGACATTTAAAAGCAAAGTTATAAAATCCAATTTGATGAAACTGGTGAAAAAAACGTTCAGCCTTTACATTTTTAAAATGTTCTTAATATAACAAGCAAAAAGTCACATGCTTTTGTAGAAAAAAAATACACTTCATTAACCAATTACATCAACCAATTACACCAATTACATCAATCTCCGTTAACAAATGCTTTTCAATAACACATTTTGGTAGAAAATAGATTTAATGATTCATTACTATAATATAGAGGAAAATTAAAGACTTAGGACACTAGTCTCTGTTTCATTTTTATTGGAGCTTAGTTCATGCTAACAGAGCGGTTGAAAAGACAGAATATTGCCCTGAATCTGAATGGATTATTTAAGAAAACTAGAACACAAAGCTAGAGAAATCTCATTACTGAATACAATACTTTATTAGATTTATTTATGAAACAGATAAAAGAAGAATATTCTCTCATTTCTTACGCAGAAATTCAGAAGAAGAGTGCAGGAGTCAACTCAAGTCCTTAGAGAACTGGAAATTTCATTAAGAACGAATCATATTGGGTGAGTATACAGTATAAGCACTTTCTAGATGTAAATCTAAAAGATCTTGAAATCTTGCTTTCCAAGTGTATTTGCCTAAAGGTAAAGCTATGTTACATATTGTCCCATATTGTCATTTTAATGCTAAGTATCATAAAGCATTTTTTCTCTAAATGCATGGCAGTTACATTAGGACTTCTCAAGGTCTTTTCTTCAGAATATCCCCGGTCTATAGACGCTTGTGGTTTTTAGTTTCAAGTTGGCGCATTTAAAAAAATGTCCTGTTTATATTATAACTCACAAACAAGTTTGCATTACTGTATTTAATACCTTGAGGGCTTATGTTGATGTAGAACATTTTAATTTGCTCACTGCTGAACAATATGCATTTTAAAGAGTAGGTGGGGCTTTTAATACAATCTGATAGAAGAGGATGCAGCTACATGATTAATGTAGAACAATAATAGAACTGATTATCTTGACTGATTGGTCTTGATTTACTGAAGATCAACAACAACGTGTCCTCACTTAGCACTTTAAAAGAGGTAAATAAAAAAGCTCTATGAAGTTCCTTCTTGCATTAATGTTCTGGATGTGATATTTCAGTTTCATAATTTTCTGTCTTTGGTGTACTGGAATAATAATAAATAATACTGGCAGATGTTATAATTCTTCAGTGTGGGCGTAAGTGTTGCTTTTGGCACATACACCCTCTATGTGAATTCCGAAAAGAAGCTTCTTTTTTATTCATGTGGCAGCTGTACACAATATTGGAAATTGTAATCACAAATTACAAGCTATAAGCTATGCACACGCTCAAGTCCAGTTAGGTCAAGAGATCTGAAGATGTTAAAACTCACGATGGACATCAAGGTAAGTGCAGTCATTATTGTGTCTTCTACATTTTACAACCAGGATACTCCTCCTTGAATTGCTACCACACTCCCAGCCAAACCACTTACTGTGGATGTTCTTTGTATCACCAAACTTTTCCATTTACACCCCAAGAGAGGATGTGGGCTTAGCATTAAGTCAAAAATAAACCAGCTGTGTTTATTTACAAATATTAGAATCCTTAATAGACAATAGTGACTGGTCAGCTGTTAAACAGTCCCCTCAAACATTGCCCTTCAACAGTTTTAAAGAACAAATTAAGATGTTTGATGCAACCAAAGCCCTTTTAATTCAAGTAGTAAAAAATCCTGAAAATTGGAATTATTATTGTTTTTAAATCAGTTGATCTTTTGTTATTGTAATACAGCATTATTCTTTGACTAACACTGAAGCAGGCTTAATTTGCCTGTTGTTCAGCCAGCTCTGTATGTCAGCATTGAGGTATGTCCAAATCTTACATCATTACAGCATTACGCTGCTTCCAACTCATGTCCATTCTGCTTGCACAACATTTTTACACAGTGTTGAGTGTTCTTCTGCCTGTTGTACAATAACACAAGCTCCTCATCTTCTGTAGTCCTCTGCACCAAATGCACTTTTTTATATTGTTTCGTATCACTAGGTAATAAATATTCATAACAACAGCAGTATACTGAGCTATTTTCTTTTTTGCTCATTCTGGTAGTACGTTTATTTCGGCCTGTTTTATGCTTTAATTATATAACCATTTCACAATAATTCTTCATATGTTTTCTAATAGAAAATTAAAGGTTTCTGTGTTCTCCCATCATGTCACACTTATTAGAAAAGGGATAGGAAAGTCATTGTATGATCTAACTTGCCAGAAGAAGATGAGATTATCATGGTTTTAGAGTTACTTTGGCTTATTTTAAATATGTAATGTTGTTTATTTTTATCTGCTCTCCTCGTTATTGCCTATGGGAAGATGTACACTTGGAAAAGCTAACAAAACTAAGGAATATGTTGTTACGATGGTAGGATTGTATCCAAAATATCTTTCTCAAAATTAATATACAGTAAATCTAATGAAATGTCATTTACTTAAGTCCCCTTAAAAACAAGCATTCAAAATTATTGTGACTGTTTATCTGTATTTTAACGGCTATTATCATTATCCTTTTGAGCAGTGAATGAAAAGTCTGTGACCGTCCAGAAAGCTTTCATATATGTATCACAAAATGTCTTTGAAGCATGTCCTGCATTTATCACAATTCCACTCTGACTTGTAAGAGATGTGATTTAGTCACCCTTTCCTAGCCAATCAAGAAAGGGGTCTCCAAGCCTAGAATTGTTGCCATACTGAGATACTGAGGCACAATCCTTGATTCTGTTGCTAGTGCCTCCTGCCAGTGACTGTTCTAGAGAATTAGGACTGCATTTTGTTCTCGTGGGAGTTGAACATTTTGCATGGTCTTTTCTAGAAAAATTATTAGGTCTGTAAATCATGAGAAAACTTTTTTCTTTAGTCCTTCATTGTCTAGTACCCAATGCATAACTAGTGATATTGCAAAATCAAATATTTCTCTTTACTGTTTTCAGTATCATAAATGGTTTAATGTCAGACAGTGTACCAAAACATTTTGCTCAACCAGTGGCCTTAGAATAAAAACAGGGACTGGTATTTAAAGAAGGGAGTGCTAGTCCTTTATGTTCCTGAGAACTCTGCATGTGATTGTTTATTTCAGCTCCAGGGATTTTGTCATCACAAATGTGATGTGATTTTCTGTTCCAGAAGAGTCAAGAAATCATAATCCTTTAAAAGGATTTTCTAACTTAAAGATAACCTGAGGAAAGGGTGATAAAGCCCATAGACCAAAAGCAGTACCTGTTTTGTTTGTTTTATGTTGCTTAGGGTTAGTATTTTTTCTTTTCTTCATTCTTTTTTTCCATTCGCAGGTGGGTCAGAGAATTCTTAAATGAAGAGAACAAGGGCCTGGATGTCCTGGTGGAATATCTTTCTTTTGCACAGTATGCTGTCACGTAAGTCATTAATTGGTACATAATGTGGGGTTCATTACAATATATGTCAACGCAGTCTTTTGCAGTCAGCATTAAAGTTCTATTCTTTTGTTTTACAGCAAACCGGTCCCAGCGGGGTTGTGCTCTATTGAATAGAATGATTTCTTTGCTTGTATTGTTTTATACGACTTCAATAATATACATGATAGTATATTATCAAGAATACCAAAATCACGAATTTGATATTTAGTGAGCTATAATGCTGAGTCTAGCTTCTAGGTCACTTGGTTTCTGAATGATTGATTTTGTCATGGGATGCCACTTTAGAAAGTGTGATAGGAACCACTTCTTTTGAGTTGCATAGCCTAGAGTTTAAATTCTCAATTTTCTTCCTGTACCGCCTCCCCCTTTAAATAAACGTATGCATTGAGGGAATTGTTTTGTTGATTTAAATGGCTTTCCTCCTTCACAATGTTTCTAAATTGAGAAATATAATGTGCTTTTTGCACATGCAAACAAGGAATTACTTCCCAGGTTGGACAAGTTCCAGATTTCTTTGGTGAACATTAGTGTTCCTCTCAAGGATATTTCCAATATGTAAACCATACTCCTGAGTCTGGGCAATGTGAGCTAAATTCTTCATTTCCTGTTTGTTGATATAAAAGGCATTAACCAGAAAGAGCTTTTTTCTCCTCTACTGAAGGCAAAGAAGACAGTTTTTATACAACATTAGAATAAACTATATAAGTTTAGTCTGATTACGATCAGCAAAAAATAACCAATATGTTGCATTGTTTTTCTTTCTAAATTTCTGTCCCAGAGCAGCAGTACATCTTTTCAATAGTTAATATTTCATCATAAATGATGGCCAGTTGAAAACATGCCCATGAGAAACAGTCCATGTAATCTCATCTCCACTTTGGATTCTGACCTTTTTTTTGTTCTAAACAGAAATCGAATGAATTTGTTACTTGTTACATGTTTCATGTTTTTTTATGTAATACCATTCATCCTTGCATCTTATAACCACTTAAACCAGTACAGGACCGGTGGGAGCCAGAGCCTATCCCGGCAAGAAAGACACAGGCAGGGTACACCCTGAACAGAGCACCAGTCCATCACAGGGCAGACACACACTCACATGAAGACAAATATTCCCAAAAGCCAATCTACCTTGCAACATGTCTTTGGACTGTGGGAGGAAACCGGCGCTCTCAGTGGAAACCAATGTAAACACGGGAAAAACATACAAATATGACGGTGGAGATAGCACTCCATGTCCAGAATTGAACCCAGTGCACTGGTGCTGTGAGGCAGAAATGCTGATCAATGTGCCATCCCGATGCCCTGTTTGTCGTTATTAGTTTTAATTTAAAAAAAAATAAAACTCATAGATCTCATCACTGAGGCTTATTCATTTTCAGGCACAGAACTGTAGTCTTGAACTGAAAGAAAAAAAAAGCAGAGGATGCTTCATCCACTCCCAGAATTACACTCTGCCTGTAACATAGGGATTTTAGCTTAAGAATCTGAGTGAAACGTTTGTTTCAGGGCAAAGAAAATTTGCCTCTTTGGGATGTTTCATGTTGACTCCAGGCTGCCTTCCAGAAGCAGAGATTCCGTTTTAGTTTATTGCTGAATATTGAGACACTACATTAAATGTTCATTGCTTTCTTTATATTTGTTTTAACTAATACAGTATGTTAAATGTTTTAATGAAATATAACATGTATGAAATTTACAAAAAAAAAAAAGCTGATTTTTCTAGGACCTATAAGAACCTATAGAATGTACCTGAATGTTGCATTTTACTTTTAACTTGGGTTTATGAATCTGGGCCGAACAGTAATGCATATTTTACTGTGTGATAACGACAGTGGTTTCTGAAACTGCACTGAACAGTAGAGCTCATTGTATAGCCTGAGTGAATGTGGACACTTCATTCCATGACTTTCCCTCCAGGTTTGACTTTGATAGCTTGGAGAACAATGTGGAGCACTCGGTGGACAAGTCCAAGCCCTGGAGCAGATCTATTGAGGACTTGCACAGAGGAAGTAACTTGCCTTCCCCAGTTGGAAACAGTATCTCCCGGTCCAGCAGGCATTCAACACTAAGGTAGGTGTCTGACTCACAACAAACTTCCTTTCTTCAGTCACAAAATATACGGGGCTGCTCTGCATCACACATGAGTGTTTATGAGCCTTTTGTAAGTCATGAGGGTGTTTCATTCTTTAAAAGGATTAGAATCATTAAAAAAATGTAGGAAGGGTGGAGTTTGGCATATGTGGGGAAGGTTTTATCCATTAATTCCTTCATATATTTTGATTAAGGGTTTACTTTATGGGATTTTTACATCACAAAAAAGAGACATTAACAAAAATATTGCTTTAATGTCCAATCTTCTTGTATGTTCTAGGTAATCCTTCCTAGTGATACATATTTTGCCTTATTAAATGTACTGTATAACTTGGAAAAGGAGAGAACACGTGTGGAGTAAATCCTTTTCATGCTTTAAAACTTTGGTCATTACTTTTGGATTAGAGCACTACCACGATTAATTGATCTTAAGGAAAAAAAGTCATCCAGTTATGAATCCATTGTATTATTTTTCTCAGGTGTCATTTTAATGAGATCCTGGTCCGCAGTTTACATTTCTTACAATAGTGTGCATAGCTTGACTTAAGTTCTTACAGAGAATTAACAATGTGGGTGGTAGTTAGGTGCTGTTGGGAAATTCTATGCACAATACTTTTTTCCCTCTTACCGTCTTAATAATATTGAACAAAACAGAGAACAAGCTGATTTTACGTCTTTTATAGCTCTGGAAAAATAACTAGTTATAGAAAATGTTTTCTGGTGTTTGTAGAACTTACAGAATTGTAAGTGTTTCTTGTCTTTGTTTTTGTGTTGGTAGGTAGAGGCAAAATTAGATGCTGTTGAAATTTTTACATTTCTAACTTCTTTCAGCATTTATTTTTGTTGGATTTTTCCTTTCTATTGTCAACTGCACCTAGTTGGTAAGGCATAAAAGCCAATCAAAACTGAAAAGAATTCACTTTTTAGTGTCCTTTTGTTAACCATTACGCCTGTTGCTGTATTTTTCCTTAGCTTTGCCCTCTGTCTACCCAGCATCAGGAGAAGGCAGGTTCTGATTTCACTTCAGCTTATTTGAATCCTGTATAAATAGCTTTAGTTAGAAAGACACACATACGCTTACCCCTTAAAATATGCTTTTTCCTGCTTGGATTCAGATTTATTGTATAAATCTTAAACCTGCTAGGTTCTCTGTTTTTTAGAAGACTTTAGTCAGATAATGCTGTGCATAGAAATGGACTGCTTCAAGGAAAATTAGATATTTGTGTGTATGTGCATTTCCTTCCTTTCCTGTATATTCCCTTCTTATCATAGCCAGTTTAATCTGCAGTTTGACTTCTAAGGGCATGTATCTCTCTAAAACATGTACCAATGTATCTGGGTCTTCTGTGTATTGGACATGAAAAAATACTATGAAGCCATGCAAGCTAATTTTCCCAATCTTCCCTTATTTTCTTAGCTCAAATACGTTGAAGAAAAGGTCTTACTGGGGGTTCTTATCGAATATGTTTCTTCCTAACTTTCCTTTTCTTCCATGCCTTTACTTCCAAAGCACTTAATTAACCAATCAGCAGACTGATAATGTGCTTTTGGCTTTGAAATAGACATTTCCAATTCTACAATAATAAATGAAACATTGGAAACAGAGGAATTAACTTTTAACACATTTATAAACAGTATTTTTCTTTACATTATACTCTTCAGTCAAGAAACACAAAATAAAATGTGACCACAAAAGGGTTATTCACGGTTTGTTTTGAAAAAGTGTGAGATGAAACACAAATGTAAAGTATACCACGTGCAAGACTAGGTATACTGTAAACCAGAGCCCTAGTGGATCTTGGTGGTGTCTGTATTACTGTGCTAATTCTGTGCTGTTCATCCGCTTAAGAAACTCGCCATCCTGGCTGCTCTTGAATTTGAAAATGTTATTATGGGACCTGTGGGAGGTTTGGCATCACGTCTAACTTATTACAAGTCACACAAAACCTGGGAAGATATTGTAGTTAAACTTGTGTGCTTCTATGTTTTATACATAAGATTTCTAGTACTGCAGCCAGGTAGACCAAGAATAAAAATATAGCTTGAGGTATTATGAAAATCAGCATACACACCCAGATATTGTAACTTGTATACTTTATTTCCAAATTCAGGATAGATTCAGGTTATAGGTGCTAGTTACAGCACGTCTGAATTTTTTTGACTTGTAGCTAAATGAATAATGCAGCCAAGCATTACTCATCCCTCCTCATAATTAATCAGAAAAGTTGATTCAAGAAAAGTCCTTCTGATGCAAAAAAGACATACTAGTTCCTTATGTCGTTTACATTGAGGCTACACGTATTTAAATTGTTTTAGTACACTGTAGAAGGACAAATTTAAAGCATTTGTACTAATGTCGGAAGCAATGTTCCAATTCTGTCACCTGAAAGTGTCTCTGTGAGTTATTCTTTTTTTATACTTCTACATGAAAGACATTCATACCTTAATAGGACCGTCTGACTCACTATGATGATCAGAAAGGAGGAAAAGTAAGTGAGCCTACATAGTGTATGTGTGTTATGACATGTTTCAGAATACCTAAGGTTTTAGAGTTATGAAAACAAAGAGTAGGCGCAGTGAGGATGTCTGGTTGTTGAAGGTGGTTGCGGAATCTGAACATGACCAGTATGCTAATCCTATTTAAATGCCTTGTTCTGGGTTTAACTATTATTTTTTCAGCAGGACATTGACTATCATGTTTTGTGAACCACTGTCTCATGACCATAGGGACCTGCAGTGGAGTAACTGTCGGAGCTGTCCGTGTCTGTTTAAGCCACTAGAGGGCAACTGAGAGAAACTAAATGCAGGTATTCGTACAGGGTTGAAAGAGAAAACTATTGCAGTTGGTGTCATTTGGAAAGTTCTGTAGTATTTAAGGAACACAAGCCAAGATATCTATGTGAAATCAGTGTCTAATTTCTGGTAATAGTTAGCCAATAAGCGTGGGCTGATCAAGACCGGTGAGAACTGGATGTTGGTTCTGATGGTTCAGCGATTTGGCTGTAGGATCATGGGATTCCAACACAGTAGGGTTTATTCTCAAACCATTCCTAAAGTTTGCACAGGAGAAGAGTGGTTTGCTTTCCCATTGTATAGGGTTAGTTTCCACTGGTGAACGCCCTCTCCAAGGATCCAGTTTGCTCAGCGTGCGGCTGGATGGAATATCAGTAGCTGCTGGATAAAGCTAAAGTTATTCCATAAAAGGTTCAGATAAAAGGCCAATCTGCAAAATGGGTTTCAAACCCACTTAGACGGTGATTTTATTTACACCAGGGTTGGTCTAACCTCAGTGAACTTTTGAGTTTCCCCACAGTTCAAGGTTTAATGTGAGTAGGTCCTCCCATGCCATGTAACTGGCCTCATGGAAATTGGTTAATTGGTTAATTGGTTTTATAGAGAAGTTGTCTTTCAGTGTGACAATTTGATAATTCATTAATAAAATTCCATTGGTTAATATCTTATATTTATAGTGTTTTTAATTCAAAATTTAGTTATGACCCACAAAAGTTTTGGTGGGCAGTAAAGCACGGCACAGTTAATGAAAATTCAGTGTGCATTCCTGCTCTTTCAGTTTCACAAAACATTCTTTCCAGCTTATCGGTTTTTAGCAAGTTCCTGTGGGTCTGTGTGAAGCCCACATAAACATTCTGGCTGTCCTGCCACTGCTAAGTGCTCGGAATCGGAAAGAATCATTTTTGTCATGTGTATCTGGGAATAAGATCGGTTTTGGAAAAGCCCTTCCTATGCATTCTGACACACTGTTACACCACATAGAAACTTGCAGGAGATACCAAATTAAGTGGGCAATACCAAATTCAATAAATGATGTCAAAAGAATCTTCTACAATTTGAGGGCTATATGGATTTCTCAGAATCTCTGGTGATTAATTTGGTTCCAGTGGTATTTAAAATTTGTATCACTTTACCTTAAGTGAAATGAAATGCATTCAGCAGTTCTTACATCGTCTGTGTGATAAGAACAGGCTATTCAGCCCATCAGAGTTTGCCATTTCAAAAACTAAAGTGATTCTACTGTGCCACTTCAGGATTAGTTCAGAACACTCAGAATATTAGCTACCACTTTATGCCTGGGTGATGTAATGTTTGTAAAAATATATCCTCCATTTTTCAGTCAAATCAGTCTCTTTGGATTTGTAGAAGATTTTTATGTATAATTATAAACCCTTACTCAACAATTGAAGTTTTTCTTTAAGAAGAAGTGCAAGTCTCATAATAAGCATTTTGAGATCTGCATCACTTTGTGTTTTGTGTTTAATCTTTTAACAAGGGTAAACCCTTTCATTCTAGTGAAAGCAGATGTCACTCATGGTTTGTTAGTAGGATTACTTTTTGCGTTGGTGTCCAGCTTGAAGAAGATGGGTGGTTACAAACAGCAGCCCTCTCCCCACTCCATGGAGACAACGATAGGGGAATCTGCGGGGGAAAAAAACCGTACTGAGTGGTTGAGAGATGTTTTGGTTGAGCTCTATGTCGGAAAAATAGGTTGTGGTTCTGTTTGGAGGAAAAGTCAGTACAGTGCCTCTGGGAAGAAATGCAATTATAAACATTACCTTTATGTGCTTGTGATCTGAAGAAGGTGCACTGGCAATGAAAATGGTTTCCGTCATGGATATAATAAGAACAGTTGATATGTTTTTCTATGTTAAGATTTCACAGCAGCTGTTCAGTGAAAGGTTTGCTGAATACTGCTTTGTATGCAAATTGGTTCTGACTATGAGACATTAACGGCAGCTCTGTGGGACTTGTGCTAAATTAAACAAGCCTAAATTGCAACTTTTTCTAGAATTATGTGATAAGAAGGTGGTTTGTTCAAATTCTTTAACATTGTATTGCAAACCTCTATACATTTAAAATGCTTGTTCATTAAATAGTGGGGGAAAACGTGCTGTATAATCTATTGGAACTTCTAAAGTTGCTTATTTGTAGAGGCTGCTTATTTGCCGAGGGCTCACATTTGACAGTTGAGCTAACTTTGAGTTTCTCTGTAGCTGGGTGTTAGAATTGTAACTAGCTGCAATTCAGTTCTTTCTGAATTGAAAATAATTATCTGGAGCAGGAAGGAAATGTTGGAAACACTTGTTTTGAATCACCAGCTTATTTTCTTGAAAGGCTCACACACAATTTTGACATAATTTTTAAAAAGCTTGCGTTCCAGCTTAAAAATGAAACAAACTTTACTTACCAGCTGACTTTTTTATCTTTTGCCTTTTAGCATCACATTTTATGTTGAATATTTAAAGTTTTAACTTCTTGTGCTTTAAAGTCTTGTATAAATGTAAAATGCCATTTTTATGACCTTTCCTGTTTTGAACTTTTTACAGGTATTTTTATACAACAGTTTTGTCATTTTATTACACAATTAAATTTGAAAAAATCTTAATTTTAGTTAGTAACTGTCGTTTCACAGATCACAGCATTAACTGCTTTATATTTTTTTTCGATATATTGTAGGTATAACACATTGCCAAGCCGAAGAACCTTGAAGAATTCTCGATTAGTTAGTAAGAAGGATGATGTTCATGTTTGTATCATGTGTTTACGTGCCATCATGAACTACCAGGTAGGAAAAGTGTTTTTCCCTTTCTGTCATATGAAAGTATTTTTATTTTTTTCATGTGTTCATTAATTTGCATATTTATTCATTCTGTTATGAGCACTAGCTGTATCATAGCCATTAACATGGTATCTTTCCTGCCAGGAATAGCAAACGTATTGTGTAACTGGCAACCATTTGCCAAGCTCTGGGTGCTCTCCTATAAATCATTATATAGAAATAGTTTATAGCGAATAAACCATGAACTTAAAAAAAAACACATGGAATTGTAGGCATATTGGAAATTTATTGGTATGCTACTGCATCATATTTTATTTTTGTATTGCTGTGAAACGTACTGTAACTTAATTTATTTTTTATTTTAGTATGGCTTTAACATGGTGATGTCTCATCCACACGCTGTAAATGAAATTGCACTGAGTCTGAACAATAAGAATCCCAGGTAAGTCCCTCTCTCACCCTGTCCATATAACCAGTATATACCCGTTCTTTTAGACACCTGCCCTTAAAATAGCCGATTTAAGAAAGTGCAGCCTACCCAGTCGATAACGTCATTGGTCATTTACACAGGCAGGCTGGAATAGTTTCAGCAAGTCTGTGAATAAGGACAGCTGCAGTCCAGCAAATGAACCAAAAGAAGACAGGGCTGCTGTTTTCTCGTCGTTTCTACAGACTAAGTAGAACATAAAGTGCCTTAAAGTGCCGGTAGAAAGAAATGGAAAAAAATGTCTGGAATACTTTTCGGAAACGGTCTCGGCTGTTTTGAGAAAATGCCTTGTCAGGAGGATATGAATGAGATAATGGAAGAAGTCATGAGACTTTGATTGTGTGATTGAAATAGTTCTTTCTTAAAATGCTAGGTCACTGTACGTGACACATATCACAGGACTTATAAACTGCTTTTCAGACCTACATACTAAAGATCATAAGCCTTTTTTTTTCCTATCGGAAATTCCATTGACATGTTTTTTATTGGTGCTTCTTTACAGGTTCTTAATAAATAATCTTCCCTTCAAGGTTGTGGCCTACTTACCAACCTTTTGCTGGTTCATAATTTGTTCTGTTAATTTCAAGAGTAATTTAAGAACAATTGATTGTATAACCTTCAATGAAATGACCAATATGTTGTATGGCCTAATGATAATAAAATGCGCTGGTATTATTTAATGAAATATTTTGAATGCTCAGGTAATCGGTATCGATTTTGTGTTTCCTTCGCAGAACAAAAGCTCTTGTTTTAGAGCTGCTAGCCGCTGTTTGTCTCGTCAGAGGAGGTCATGAAATCATCTTATCAGCTTTCGATAACTTCAAGGAGGTAAATTTGATTCCTGTCTTGAATACTTTTATTAAGAACAGATCCGATTGTCATATAAAAATGTTTCTTAGGAATGTTGCTTAAATGCATTATTGCATTTGTTATTGAACAAGCATTAAACATTTTAATAACCTTAAAGCTGTTGCAAATAGTATTTTTCACATGTATATGTCAGTTTTAAGTGTGGTAGGGTTGATGTTTTAAAAACATTCTTTGGATTTAACATACCAGCCTGGAAAGTAGGGGGCTGGAAACAGACGAGGTTTCTTAATTGCACAAATAATTAGTTTAAATGTTTTTGTAACCTCCATAACTGACCTTCCTATCTTTGTTGGGATTATAAACAAGTCATGTTTTATTACTGATAATAATTAATGTTATATTTGTCTATCATAATACCTTGCATTTAGTTAGTGCTTTTTATCCCTAAGGGTTGTAAATATGCTTAAATCCACCAGTGAAGTGTAGCTTGGGTGATGCTTGGCTACCATCGGAAACAGTCTTCCCTGCTCACAGCAGCTGAGATGATCAGAAAGTACAAAATTGCTTTGCCATTTGAGTGAAGGGGGAATTTTAGGTCAGTCACATTATGCAGGTCCCTGGTTGAATTATGACAGGACAGAGGGGTGACTCCCCTGCTCTTACAGACAGTGCTATGGGTTCTTGACTAAGTGGTTGGGACCTTGCTTCAATGTCTCATGCGAAGGATTGCACTTCCCATAGAACAGTGTCCTCGGTCATCATACCTGGGGTATTGGTTTGGAAATTCTGGTGCAGAGAGAAGAGTGCCACCTTCTGGTCCACTAGCATCACTTCAGTGCACCAACCTGGTTTTCCAGAGAGGTCTCCCATCCCAGTACTAACTAGCCCAGCCTTGTTCAGTTTCTGGGTTTCTGATGAGATCAGGCTACAAGGGCAGGGAGGGGGTCAAAACTGTTGTCAGAATAGGGCCCAAAAAATTCTGACAAGTAAATTTGTCATTGCACCCATGGTAGAATAGAATTGTATTTTTCTTAAAGATCTTTCTATTTTGTAGATACGGGTTATCATGTTAATGTATCCCAGTTGTAATGTTACTTAAAAATGTAAAAAATCAATTTAATCAGGATCATTCCAGTTCAAATTCATAGGCAGTCACTGTAAAAATAATGAAATACCTCCTTTTGGCATTTCATTTATGCAGTATACACAGATGTGGGTGAAGTGCCTCTGTCTGAAAGCTTTCCCTATGGCTACAATTATTTAAAATGTAATACAAAGGGAGAGGATTGGGATGTTTCTGTTAAGAAAGGCTACTTTCTTTAAGGAAAGAAAAGCATTACTTTCAGGATTACTATGATTGCAATACGACATATGAATAGCTTTGTTTTTGCCTTTTCCTAATAATGTTTTCTGTTATTTTGTTTTAGAACAATAGAGGTTTGTCGGAAATATCCCCTGCTTTCAATCACTGCAATGTAAAAGGCACTGTTCCCCTTACTTAAAAGACCTGTTTGTTTAGCAGACACGAGGGTCTGCAGGCATTGTGCAGCCTGCCTGGTAATGCAGTAATGTTTTGGGAGATGAGAGATGCCTCATTGTATTCGTCCTGCTGTTTGTGCCTTGCAGTCGTTAAGTGTTTTTAAGAGTGAGGCCCACGTGGTTTCTTTTTGGAGTCACTGCCTTCATCTCCACTTTCTGCAGTGAATGTTAACCACACTGGAGAAAATAGGTCAAGCTGGTTACAAAGCTTATTCTTGGGATGTTTCAGGTAGATGTGGCTGAGCATAGAGTAATAAATAGCTCTAATATATTGTGTTGATAGTGAATGCAATTGAGCCTATAATTTAAATGGTAATTAATGATTAATAGAATTCATAATAACCATACATTTTTTCATAAGAATGCTTTAATTTACAATAGTTTGCCAAGTTCTGCCAAATCATACCAATGCAGCTTCAAATCTTGAAAAAGTGTCAAACTTGACATTTAAAGGCACACTGGGCCACGAGTGGTAAAATGTATTTTAGAATTGTGGTGTTTTAGATTTGGAGTGATCACCCCCAAACACACCTCAGAGAAATGCAAAAACGTGTGTTTACTTTTAAGATGACTTCGCAGAAAATATTAATTTCTTTAGCATTTTGTTGGTGCACAAAGCTGAAATGTCAGAAGTGTCAAAGAGACAAATGTCTGTAATCATAAACCCACAGAAATCTCTAAAGATAGATTTTGGAATTACCATTACAGACCAATTTTTTTCACTTATACATTAATATATTATAGACTACACATTCTTACTTAGGGCTATTTAACCAATTTTGTAACTCACTATGTTTTGTTTTCTTAGTACATTAATGTATTTGGTATTTATACAGGTTGAGTTTCAGGATATTTTGCTCTTAAATTGTATTTATGTATCATTATCTTATGTTATGTATATATTGTAACATTATTTATAATTTTTAGTTTATTAAATCTCATTTTAGACCTAGCATAAAATGTAGAACATATTGAAATTAAAGTAAATACTAGATTATATACAGTATTTGTGGTTAATGAATACAGTTTCCCCTTTCAATTTTTTTTGACAAAATGGTAAATCCTCAGTGTCTGTAACTAAACTATGGTCTCACTCTTTTACAATATTTTATGTTTTAAGAACATAGATAAGCTCAGTGTCAGTTTACAACAAACTCCTCATACAAACCTTGAAAAGCAAGGCTGTCCTTGTGCACATACAATACGTAGTGTAAGTACGCAATTCATTCTGCCTGTTTCAGATATGGTACTGGCAGTGTTTTCCCAATCATATGCACGTTGTAAATTACATTATTGATCTTTTTCTTCTCCTTTAGGTTTGTGCTGAGACACAGAGGTTTGAAAAATTGATGGAACATTTCAAAAATGAAGACAACAATATTGATTTTATGGTATATTTACATACATAAATCACTGTGCTCTGTAGATCTTTGTGTTCAGTTATCAATCTAGTTAAAGAGGAAGCAGAAATTGTTTTGATACCTGACTTTGCTTAATATAGTATAGATTGTGTGTTCTGTTTCAGACCTCCATAAGCATTCAGATAAGTCCCTGGCTAATTCATGTCTTAACATATTAGCTCCATCCCTTTTTTAAATTATGCTAAGGTTCAGTCTTTTCATAGTTCATTTTTAAAATCCACATACAAGACGCAGGGCAAACTTAACAAAATTAAGGAAAAAGTAAAGGTTTATTCCATGCTGAAAAGAAAAGAAACACAACATTTCGGCTGTAGAGTTTTCTTCGGGTGTGTCAACATGGGATAAACCTTTACTTGTTTTTTGCAGCCTACGCATGCTGACGCTGCTACCTACTTTAACAAAACTATAACTGCAATTGGAGATACTTCATTGCTGCTTTACTCAGAAAGGTGATTTCCCACTGGATTATCTTGTTTTCTGATGTCCTATTAGAAGCTTTGTGAGTTTTGCACTAATACAACATGTAAAATCCAGGTGAAAAAGAGACACAAAGTTTGCTTTAATAAGAATTGAATAATGGCACAGTGTATTCAATGTGGGAAAGAAGAAAACTGCTGAGGTGTAGTATTTGTTTTTTTCAGGTGGCATGTATGCAGTTTATTAATATTGTGGTTCATTCAGTGGAAGATATGAACTTCAGAGTCCACTTACAGTATGAGTTCACAAAGTTGTGCCTGGATGAATTCCTAGATGTAAGTATGAATAAATATTTTACAAGTTTTTGTTTTTATACTTTTTTAAATATAGGAAACAACAGCAGAATTCTTAAATGGCACTGAATTCTTATTCTATTCCGTGTACCCTAAGTGGAATGCAGGCAGGTAGTGAAGTGTTAGGATGTATAAGCCTAAGAGTGCTATGTTAAAACTATACAATGTACCAATACGGTTTTTAAAATATTGAGTGATTTTGGTCACCACATTGCTAAGAAGATATTGCCGCTCCGTAGTCAATCCACAGAAGAGCAACCATATGCATTTCCAGGCATAAAGGAGTGTCCTACTCTGAAAGGCTAGAACTGAGTCTGTTAGTCTTGAACAGAGGAGACAATGAGGGAACTTGGTTCAGATATTAAATATCCTCAAAGGCATTGACAAAGGCAACTTGTTGAACAGTAAAGCATGACCAAGAGGACACCAGTGGAAATGCACTTTAATCTGAAAACAGGAGACACATTTTCCACCTGAATGGTTGCAGAAAAGTGAAACAAGCTGCCCGGTAATGCGACTGAAGCTGATTAGATATCTTTTTTAGAAGATCCTCTGGACACTTACACACCAGTAACCGAATGGTTACTAATGGACCGAACATTCTCTTGTTTCTAAACCTCATTCTCTTACACTATTATGTCTATGAATAAAAAGACTTCTTTTGCTGTTGAAGAAATGGAGATGGAAATCGTCACCTTAACAACAATAGGAATGTCGCTGACAAAAATGTACCTTCCACTCCCAAAATCTCTTAATTTGTCTGCTTCTTTTTGAGACAGAAGCTGAAGCACACAGAAAGCGACAAGCTGCAAGTGCAGATTCAGGCCTACCTGGATAATGTGTTTGACGTCGGTGCTCTTCTGGAGGATGCAGAAACGAAGAATGCTGCCTTGGAGCGAGTCGAGGAACTTGAGGAGAGCATCTCCCATGTAAGTGGAGCGTGATTCGACAACAGAATAGGATTCGCCCTTTGTTTTAAATGCTGTCAACTTTTTTTAGTTGTGTATTATGTATTAAGAGTTGCACTCATTAGGAGCAGTGGTTGGTTTGAAAGATTGTAAGGGCTTCTGGTCGCTTGAGTGTTTAATAGGAGCTTTATATTAATGCTTAAGTGCAGACTTAAAAGCAACAAAAAACAAAAACTAACAACAAAGCCTCCTGGACCACCTCATGATGGGCTTAAAATGTAGAGAGGTAAAGTGTGCAAATCCAAGTAAATTAGGAATATTTGGCAAGGGGAATATCTGCTTTAAAAACTGTTGTTTGCTTCCTGGTTTGTTGAAGTTTTATTATGAGTTTTTATGCAGTTAACAAAACACCAGCTTTACATCTAAATGGTTTATGTTTATGAACTCTCTATTTTGATACAAACTGCTGAAACAATGTACTGAAATCATATATGAACCATATTTTCCCTATTCATACCAGATTAAACATGCAAAATATTAGAAATATAAATAAAACAATTGATGATGTTGAAATTAACTTCTGGTTAGAAATCTGAGCCTTCTTATTTATGTACTGTGTGTTCCTAGATGACAGAGAAACTTCAGGATACTGAAAATGAAGCTATGGCTAAGATAGTGGAACTGGAGAAGCAGCTCATGCATAGAAACAAAGAACTGGATTCTATTCGGGTGAGTTTATTTAAGATGTGGATTTCTTGCCTTATGCCCAGAATATGCTTCACACAATCATAAAAGAAAGTACTTCTTGATCATGGATTATGAAGGTAAATTGGAATCAGATTGACCTCTGTTGCAATCAAAATATTTTTAATAGAAATACAATTTTTTATTCATATCGGTAACTGTAGAGAAACAAATAAGTTGGATTAAAATGTGCCTTCCACTACTTCGTACACCCGGCTTCAGCTTGGTCTTGTCTTTGCAGGAAGTTTACAAAGACGCAAACACACAGGTCCACACGTTGCGGAGGATGGTGAAGGAGAAGGACGAGGCGATCCAAAGACAGTGCAACCTGGAGAAGAAAATCCATGAACTGGAGAAACAAGGGACAATAAAGATCCAGAAGAAAGGGGATGGGGAAATTGCAATCCTTCCCTCAGTCCAGCAGGGGTCAGTCACCCCTGGTGCAGAAGGGGGTGCTGGTTCCTACGTGGTTGCAGGGACATCACTGGGTCCAGAAAGTGGGGGAGTTCCTCTAGTCCCAGCACCGCCCCTGCCGCCTCCCCCTCCACCGATGCCCGGGTCTGGTTAGTGTGTTTCTGAATTTCTGATCCATCGCGTATAACATTCCTGTAGTCAGTGTAGTCGGGAATTAGTTTTTTTGGGAGGGGTTGAGGCAACATGTAATAATAATTCCTTACACTCATATAGTGCTTTTCTGAGTACTCCACTCAAAGTGCATTATAGTTAAAGGATGCTTCCCTCTACCACCACCAGTGTGTAGCCCCCCACCTGGATGATGCGCCAGTACGCTCACCTCACACCAGCTATCAGTGGGGAGGAGAACAGAGTGATGAAGCCAGTTCAGAGATGGGGATTATTAGGAGGCCATGATTGGTAAAAGCCAATGGGAAATTTGGCCAGGACACTGGGGTAAAACCCCTAATCAGATATTACACATAAGTTACAGACAAATAGAAATCTGAATGAAAGATGATGGAGGAGGCGGTGAGGCTCAGACGCTGGAGCTGAGGAGACTTAACAAACGTTAGCTCCTGCGAGAAAAGATACCTGAATTCCCCATGACTCTGAATTCAGTGGAGTGTTCTTTGCCTTCTTTTTCAGTGCCAAACGGACCCTCAGCCCCTCCTGCTCCTCCTCCTCCGCCACCACCCCCTCCTCCGCCGCCACCCCCACCACCCCCTCCGGGCCCTGCGCTGGAGGCGTCTCCCCCTGTGCCTCCCCCCCTTCCCCCTGCAGCCCCCCCTCTCCCTGGCTCAGGATCTCCCACTGTCATCTTCAACTCAGGGTTAGCAGGTAAGGCCGCCTCCGAAACTGTCTGGGAACAGGCTGGAAAGAGCAGACCTAAGTGCAAAAGGCTAGGCCTGCTTTCCTTGTTAGTTGTACTTGTAAAAGAGTTTATAAATTGTCTTAAATAGGAATCTGGCTGTCAGATACAGAAAGTGTTTATAGGGTTGTAAACCAGAGACTATGTAATTTATTAATTGTACCCATCACCGTACACTTTTCTCAATTGCAGGCCTTTTGCACACTCAGCTCACTATTTATGGCTGCATAGTCTGGGTGGACAACTGATGGGAATAAGCTCGTTTTGTACTTTATTGCTCTTAGAATTTTGATGCACCAAGTAATTACTGTGGATGTTGTCTATATTATTCTATGTTAAGAAGCAAACATTCTGGGCGCCTTCTAACTTCACACATCCATGGATGAGTCACTTGTGCCATGAGGAGAATATTTGTTACAGCATTTTTGAGTCTCATGCTGTTTACAGTCATGCTGTCTTTGACTTGTGTCTTATTTAGAAATGCACTGTGCTTTCAGTACCGAGTTTGCTATGTAACCATGTGTACACTATATCCATATGTGTGCAAGACACCTACATTTTCATTTAGAAGGTTAACTAGTTCTGAAGATTGTTTAGCTCTGTGCCATGAGTAATGGTACCAGAGTGAACATAAGTCCTGATACATGTCTGCCATGAAAATGCATCGTTTAGAACAACGGCAATTAAATGTTTATCTGCAAATCTTCTCTTTTCCATTGCAGTTTACGGTAAGAGGTGAATCAAGCAATATGAAAACATTCATTGATTTTTTTTTTACATTTTTAGTATATTTTATTGATAAACGGATATTCTTCAGTTTGATTACTGGCACTTCATTTCTTGCTTGCTTGTTCTGTACCTGGTGTTAACTGATATCTAGATCAGGAAATTATTCCTTTGCACTAAAAACTTGTTCTTTGCTTTCTCTCTACCTTTTCTGCTTACATAGAGGGACCCATCAAGCTCTTCTGTAGGTTTTTCTGTGTTTGTGTTTGTTTTGTGAAACTCTGTGAAGTGTTCCTCAGCAGTGGAATATGGTTTCAGGCAGACAAATGTAGAATGTCTCCTCTTTAAGCTCAGCACATAAGCTTTTTAAAAAATCATAAATTTACAGCATCCTATTCACATGGAGAACATACATTGTGAAACTTAGTTTATTGAACAAACATTGCAATTGGACTTGGGTTTAATATGGAATAACTCAATTTTAGTTCAGTGGGTCTGTTTTGATAATAAGTTTTGTATTTGAAATTTTTACATGAAAAATTTTGTAACTTAAATTTTTGTTTTAAGTGCTGATTTCCTAGAATGTGTCCATAGAATTCAGGATAATAGTGCACAGGGTGATTTTTAAAATTTTCTATCCCAAAGCTAAATTTGCACCTGAGTTTGTTATTTGTTAAACAAGAGACTGATTCCAAGCCAAGAGGGAAGACGGGTGGGAAAAAATAAAATTACAGTAAACCCTCATTATACTGACCCTAATATAGAGAGGAGTTTGGTCACAGTGGCAAGAGTCTGGTCAAAGTCATATGTGTCGGAAAAAAATCTATCCCGAGAGTTTTTGGACATGTTGGTCTATGATCGTTGTAAGTGATGCATGCCCGCTTGGTTCCTGATAATTTTCTCCCTTTACTTTTAAGATCTGTACTGTATTTAGGTATTAACCATACCTGCATTTCTGAAAAGTGGATGACTTTGCAGTCCTATTTATAACTTCTCATGTAAGAGTTACAAATAGTACTGTAAAGTTCTTTGTCTTAAATATTTTCGAGCTGTAGGTTAGACATCTCCTGGATTTCTGCTTTTATTGGACACTGCTTTCCCCCATTACTCTACTATATTGAGGATTTACTGTAAATTGATTTTTTTAGCCAGATTTTATATGGAAGACTTCAATTAATAAATCAGAGTTTGTGGGAAAAGCCCTTTCTTCTGTTGTATATCATACCTCTCAAATATTTAGTAATATTTTGTGTTGCCCATTTTGTGATAACCAGGTTGTGATATGCCAAAACACAACTGTTGTGCCTTATTTCTAATAATGGTAACTCTTAATGTGTGGATTGTGCGTATTATTGCATGCTGAAACACATTCTGGGTGGTTAAGTCAGCAGATTAAAAGGAGATATAGGTTTATTGTGCAAGTCTGGCATGGTGTCTCTTAGAGAAACCATGTCTTTCTGCCAAGACTGTAAAGCTTTTTCCCAGTTCTCAGATACACAAAGCATAATTTTCTGTGATTATGTAAAAGTAGTATAATTTACTTTAATAAAGTAAAGATCATAATCAAGAACTAGACAATTATTTTCTCATGTGTTAGGGTTCCCATACTAACAATTCAAATTTTTGCACGTCTCTTCTGTTTTCTTTTTCTAGTTATTGCCAGCATTGTTTATGCTGCTTTGCAGCTGGATAAAGTGTACAGTTAAAGAAATACAGTCCCGTAAGGCAAGAATTCTGGTGGTGGTTTTTGGCAGTGCCTCTGTAGCAGCAACACCTGATGAAGCAACACTTTATTTCAACTTATTACGGTCTTAAAACTTGCAGCATGCCATACCTTCAGCTACACATTTAATCTGTGATGAGTCATGAGCAGGCTTTTCCAGTTTCTCTTCTAATTAATCTTCCCTTTAGAGAAAGTAAGGGTGAATATGGCTGAAAATTGCTGCTCTCCAATGAATCTGAAGTGACTCTCTTTGTGCTTTTCTGCAGCCGTGAAAATTAAAAAGCCAATAAAAACTAAATTCCGTATGCCAGTCTTCAACTGGGTGGCCTTGAAACCTAACCAGATAAATGGAACTGTCTTCAATGAAATTGATGATGAAAGGATTCTGGAGGTAATATTTATTTTCTGAGGAGCGCAGAAATGTGAAGCATGCTCTGACCTAGATTTTGCTGAAAATCCATTTGTGTTGTGATGTGTAGCTATTAATATCACATAATATGTTTCCCTAATGATGTTCTTTTTTAATTTAATACTTATTTAATTTTTCACTTGTGTATCATCGGTTTTTTAGTAATATTTTGTTTTCCTTTTTATTTTATCAAGGTTTAATTATTTTTTTGTGTAAAGGAGAATTTACACAAAGAATGCTTATCTAAAGTGCTTCATTATTTCTTTTTTAGGATCTGAATGTGGATGAATTCGAAGAAATGTTCAAAACAAAAGCTCAAGGCCCTACCATAGACCTAACATCAAGTAAACAGAAGGTCATTCAGAAGGGACCAAATAAAGTGACGTTACTGGATGCCAACAGGGCTAAAAACCTGGCCATCACTCTGAGAAAAGCTGGGAAAACACCAGAGGAAATATGCAAAGCCATTCAGATGTACGTTTTTAGTTCTGTAAATTCGTTTTATGTCATTTGAAATACCTTTTGGCCTTTGAAAAGTAAAATATGCTAATCAACTTTAATGTACTTCACGAAGACTTTGCGTGCCATGCGGATCTTAAATAACAAAATATCCTTGGTGGTGGTTATTTTAATATATGGTGGTGTTCATATATTAATTTAGTATTTTCAAATAGATTAATAAATATAAGGCCAAGATAAACATTTTTAAGCAGTGATATATACTGTAGTATTAGGCAACAGCTGACTGGCCAACCACTGTAACCATGTTAAAGGTTTACGTAATTAATGTGTATTTTAGATATGTTCTGAATTACAGATTTGCTCGTGCAATCCCTAGGGTTTGCAGTGGCATATCTCCCTGTCTGTTCTGGAATTGACACCACATATTGGATTTACATGATGAAAATAAAACAACTATTGAATTCATTGCGGTTTCGTAGTTAAGGGGTCACTACTGAGAAAATAGGTGAAGCAAATGTTCTAATCATATTCTTTTCTCTTCAAAACTAAAAAAAAAAAACCCTCAAAAGTTATATGCAATAACTTGAGTAATACTAGGTAGAAAGCAGGGGGTTAATTCCACACCGAAAAGGATTAAGTACATTGCTGCTGCTTCTTTGTACTGTATTTCATTAAAGAAAATAAATACTAAGATAATCTAAATTGTAAGATATTTTAAACAGGTATTGCGGTGTCAGTAATGTTTTAAATCAAATAATAATAAAGTAACACTTTTTCTCACCTGTAGTCAATAGTTGTCATGCAGTACCCTCAACAAAATGTAGTACAGTAAGAATATGCCACATTACTTCAGTATTTCTATTTCCTAAAACTCTCCAGGCGTTTCTTATATTTTTGCTCTCATCTGTTTACTGATTTAACCCTCTGCATGTCAAAAAGGGGTCTGTATAATTCACCCATTTGTCTCTGAATGTGATGGAAATGACAGACACTGGAATAAGCAGGTAGAAGACTAAGACATCAGAAGGAAGTTTAATGCAGTGAGTGTTAAGTTGGAACATTATCAGACTTGCTGTGTCTATGTGTGGCCTGTGTCATTGTGAACATCTCTTTTCTCTTACAGGTTTGACCTAAGAACTTTACCTGTGGATTTTGTTGAATGTCTGATGAGGTTCCTGCCAACGGAGAATGAAGTGAAAGTCCTGCGGCAGTACGAGAAGGAGAGGAAACCACTGGAGAGCCTGACGGACGAGGACAGGTTTATGATGCAGTTCAGCAAAATTGAGCGATTAATGCAAAAAATGACTATAATGGCCTTTGTTGGGAATTTCACTGAGAGCATACAAATGCTAACCCCTGTAAGTATGTCTGAACTGTAACCTAAATTCTGTTACAGAGAATTAATGTTTTACCATTTGTAATATGAAGAAAATTGAAATGTTTTGTATACATACCATTTTTAAAGTGGTAAAAATAGGATGTTCATTGATCACGCTTTGTTTTTTTTATTTTTGCCATTTCCATCTGTTCTGTAGCAACAGAACTCGATAACTCGAATTTGATAACTAGTTTTGTTTGTGATTGTAACTAAAGCCAGTTAATTGATTAATTGCAAAGTTATTAAAACTTTATCAAGGCAAAAGCAGAAATATCTGATTATCGAATATCAACTCAGTGATTCAAAAATATCAATAGATCTCATGTGAATTGATATCTAATATCAAAGATGATACTATATATAACGTTTTTGTATTTTTCTTAAAGCAACTTCATGCAATAATTGCAGCATCGGTGTCTATAAAATCATCACAGAAATTAAAGAAGATACTTGAGGCAAGTATTCATCTAGTCTTCTCTTCTTGTGTGTTTTTGTTTTAAATTGTTGTTAAGTACGTCTAAGCACAAGCAATGGTTTTATGTAACTCTTACTTTTCTTCTGCAGATTATTTTGGCTCTCGGAAACTATATGAACAGCAGTAAAAGAGGAGCGGTCTATGGTTTTAAACTCCAGAGTTTAGACTTGGTAAACAAATATTCCACACTTCTTAAGCTCATCTCCATTTCTTTTAATAGGTTTCAATTTATACTGTACTTTCATGATCCACACTGCTTCTAATGCAGTGTAATTCAAAGGGATTAAGATGGATTGCTTTGTTTCATGTGGTAATTGTTTTCATCTGTTTTTTAAATGCAATTTTACTGAAAATAACTCCTGATGATCTTTTTGTCTTATGAAAGCAGAAAACAATGCTGTCCCCTCAATATTTAGTTTAGAATTTTGTTAAGCAGTTGACAAGGTAACTATTTTGAATGCTGTGACTAGAACAATTTACATTAAAATGTTAAGGATCTGTGTGTTTTTAGAAGGATAAAAGAGACAGGAAGTAGAGTGTGTATTTGTGTACAGCATACTAAAATGTTTAATTCCCAAAGCTTTTAGACACAAAGTCTACGGACAGAAAGCAGACTCTGTTACACTACATTGCCAATGTAGTCAAGGAGAAATACCATCAGGTGTCCCTCTTCTACAACGAACTCCATTATGTTGAAAAGGCAGCAGCAGGTAAGGGCACTCGGTATTCAAGACTCAAATGAACAAAAGTATTGTATTAATAGAAGTTTGCCTGTTTGTTTTAAGGAATTACTGATCCAAAATAATGTGGCTTTCTTCTGTGGTTTAAACTTACTAAATTTATATTGTTTTCATGTGCAAGTTTAGTCTTTCACACATATTTTTTTCCAAACAATCCAAAAGTTTCAAGTTTCACCATTTATAAATACGAATAACTAAAGTGCAGCTATTTGTCTTCACAAATTACACTGCATTTTCTACAAGTACTGTAACTGAATTTGAATGTTGTATGGACTCCATTATTTTCTGTCTGTTTTTCATAAGTGGGAAGCCCTAGTCCCACTCTGTGTATGTAGCTGTAAGTAACTAGTTAGAATTTCGGGCTGGTAATTGTCAGTATTCGATTGACACAATATTCCTTTGGTATGGAATAGCATCAAGCTTGGTGTTCTTCCTTCTGCTTTAGTATCACTAGAGAATGTCCTATTGGATGTGAAGGAACTTCAGAGAGGAATGGACTTGACAAAACGGGAGTACAGTATGCATGGCCACAACACTATGCTGAAAGACTTCATCAACCAAAACGAAGGAAAGCTCAAGAAACTCCAAGATGATGCCAAAATTTCACAGGTAAGTGGTTTTCATGTAGGCATTTGATGCTAGACTTGGACTAGAAATAGAAACCTGTGGTCAGATATTTTCCCTATTATCCTGCTTGAGCAAAATTTCATCTGACTTTTGAGGGATGTCATAACATTATATATATATTATGCGGCTGAAGGTCAGGGACTATTCGGGTATGACTGAGTTCTACCAGAGAGGGGGAAGATTAGAGATAGATACTTTATTGATCCCGTGAGGGAAATTGCAGTGCAACAGCAGCTTAACACACACAACACAGCCACAGTGTGTTGTAACGAATTATATAATAATAGTACAATACATAGAATACAATACAAGAGTTAATCACAGTCCGGACAAACAAAGAACAAACTAGAACAAAACAGTACACGGAAAAATCGTATCACACATATGAATATAAATATAAATGTAAATATAGATATAAATATAAATGTATTGCACAGGTCCCTGGCATATATTGCACAAAAAATGGTTGTAAACGGGAAAAAGAAAAAGAAAAAGAAAGAGAACAGATGTAGCAGTAGATGTGTATATGCGTTTAGTCCAGAAACAGGTCACTGTCGATGTTGCCTCTGCCCAGACGCAAGGTAGATGCGTTGTACAGTCTTATGGCAGAAGGCAAGAATTGCCTCCTGTAGCGCTCCCTGTCGCACCGTGGATGAATCAGTCTATTGCTGAATGTGCTCTTCATTCCTGCAAGCCTGTCATAGAGGGGATGGGAGAAGGGACATAGAGAAGGGACAGACTTTAAGTTTAGGAGTTAAGAGTGTGAGAGAAGGGGGGTCAGAGGTTGTTATTAGCACATTTTCTTGTTTCTAGCATACTTGATTAGAAATGGAAATGTATATTAATATTTTTTTTTCTTTCTAAAGGATGCATTTGATGAAGCAGTGAAATATTTCGGAGAAAATTCCAAAACAACGCCTCCTTCTGTGTTCTTTCCCGTCTTTGTCCGATTCGTGAAGGCCTACAGGGTAAGGGAAAGCAGCACTTTCCCGTTTTTCAATGAACCACCCAGTTACCACTGCTTTCAATAAAGATCAGAAACTCCCAGAACTATGTGGATTACAGGTGGGGTTTTAATTTCCCCTTCTTTTAAAACAGCAAGCAGAAGAGGACAATGAACAGAGGAAGAAACAGGAGCAGGCACTCATGGAGAAACTGTTGGAGCAGGAGGCCATGCTGGAGCAGCAGGACCAGAAGGTACTGTCATGTTGGCACGATCCAGCTAATTGTGTAAAACATCCAGTAAAAAAGTCAGCAAAATGTGAACCATTGCCTTGTCTGTTTTAGTAATATAAAGTTATAGTAATATCTTTGTATAAATTATTCTTTATGTACTTTGTTGTACAGTAGTGCTCTATTTCAGATCCTGTTTAACCATACTTGGGTACATTTAAAACCAAAGAAAAGAACAGATTCACTAATGTACTTAAGGTATCACGTTTACTACATTTCATGAAGTGGGAAACAGAGAGTAGTTATAAATCAGACGATATCCCCTTTTGTGTCATATGAAAAGCACTGTTTCCGGCACATTGCGTGTTAATTCTTTGTGTCCGTTTTCACATGTGCCCCAGAATTTGTTTTGTTTGTGCTGCCTTTTGGGATTATCAATCTGGTTCTTATCTCCCGCCAGTCGCCATCGCATAAGAATAAGAGGCAGCAGCAGGAGCTGATTGCAGAGCTGAGGAGGAAGCAAGTCAAGGACAGCAGACATGTCTATGAAGGCAAAGACGGTGCCATTGAAGATATAATTACAGGTAAAGACAAGCTGGGCCGTGCCGTGCTCTTCATTGTAGTTAACTTGATTCAAAACCTTAAAAATTACACAGGTACACCCTGTTAGATGTGGATTCTTTATTTGCTGATATATTATTATTGTCATATATTTATACCAAGATTCGATTTTAATGCTTCACACAATAACGTTTCTCTGCTGGGCAGAGATCCGCACTGACAACGTAAACTCATAAAAACTGCTTTACTTTTGTTTTCCTGTGAACAGAGCATTTAACTTTTGTTTTTATATTCCTTGTACATTTATTACTGCCGTACAGTACTATTTCACAAATAAGCAGTGAAAGCAGGAATGTCAACAGATTTTTAAAGTATACTTTATAATGGCATTTAAAACACATTTTGAAGATTCAATTCAGTTATTAAATGTCTAGAGTTAAACAACAGAAAGCATTAGTGTATATTATAACAAGATAATAAAAAATACTAAACTCCAAGAAAATCACACTACTGTATAGTCCTGCACAGCAAAGCTCACAAATGGCAAGATTTTATCAAAATATGTGTATTATTTTTAATATTAATAGTTCATAAATATATTTCCTAGGCACTGTTTTCTTTCTTGCTGCGTACTGTATTAAGGAAAAAGATACATTTGTACCAAAATGATTTTTCTTATGCAAGGGTTAGACTGTTTTGCTCAGTTCTGAACCTGAACCCCTTTTACGTCAGTCCCAAAGAGGAAAATTTATTCGTTATCCATTGATTCTCTGTACAGTGAACTTTTCCAGAATTAATTTCCGACATATAACTGGATATATCTGTACTTTAATTCAGACTTGAATACAGGAAAAGATACAAGTGGAGCTGTTTGATTGGTACTTGAAGGTGCTAAAATAGCTCTAGCTATGTGCAGCTGACTGCATGCCTTGTTCATTACTTGCAGTTTGTTACATTGCATTAAATTAACTTTTACGTGAGACTAACAGTATTCATCCTTAGTGATTTAACAAGTAGATTCTGAAAGGTTGTATTGTGGTTAATTCTAATATACTGCTTCTGTTTTTAAAAATGCCATCTAATTTTGGTTTGTGCCACCACACATCTGTTAATAATCGTTGCCGTTCTGCTTGTTTTGCTGTAATAGTTTTAAAGGGGCTGAGCTGTTGAAGAATGAGTGTCTGTAAAAAACGTCTCGCTATGAAATTTAGAAAATTAAAGCCATGAATCTGCCACTTTTAATTGCTGGTTGGTGCACTAGGAAGTAAATAATTGTTAAGATCTCCTTACAGTAGAAGTAGTGTTTGCAGTGCAGACCAGAAAGTGGTTAATGTCAACGTTGAAAACAGGCAATTTCCTAATGGGAACGACTGCCTTGGATTCATGAATCTTGTCCTTCACCAAAATATTTACCCATTCTCTGAATGTAAAAATCAAAATGTGATTTTGAGTGGAAGTCTATAATCAAAAGTATGCTTGAAAGGATTAAGATTAGCTGCTGGAAAAATGTAAAAATGTATCTGCAAGTCCTAAATGTGATGTCAGGAAAGGGGGATGATTTCATTAAAGATAAAAGCCCTTTAACCACTTATTATGAATGTTTAATAATGCTTAGCTTTAGTTTCCATTTTCTGTAGATTGCTAACCATTTCCTAGAACTGTAGATGTCTGCTGCTTACCGTGTTCTGTCTTGTTTGGCTGTTGTTTTAATGCAGTGCTGAAGACAGTGCCCTTTACCGCCCGAACAGCCAAACGTGGTTCTCGGTTTTTCTGCGAACCTGTTCACGCTGAGGAGTTCCATTACTAAACTTAAAAACTTTCTCAGCTGATGCTCATAAAAGGTTGCTGTAGGTTGAAATACTATATACGTCTCTTTTTCACTCTTCATGGGCCCACCTGGATGTGAACAAACGTGTGTCTGGTGTCCTGTGGGGCTTCTGTCCGTGCAATGCTGCCCTCCTGGCATGCTGGTGTGAAATCTCTGGAGGAGCTGTCGATTCCTTGTGTGCCCTGCATGACACATGTCACCGTCACCCGATCCATTTCACCTCAGCAGTGCACCTCATCCGTGATACCTCTGACACATTGTCACAAGCCAGAGCAAACCATAATGTCACCAAGTCTTAGGATCTCGAGTTAGAGCCTGCAAAATTAATAATAACCCTTTGTTGATTATTGGTTTTTGGATCAGGCCTTTCATTTAGCACCCCCTGGTGTTGAAACTGTATAGCTTTATGGTATTATTATTATTTTTATGAATAATAATAATAATGATTATAATAACCATGGGGTACACATTGCTCAAACTCAGTCCTGATGGAGATTTCTTGTGTTTTAGACAAGTGGCACTATGCCTTGCTTTTCTTTTAATCTCCATGGAAATTTGAGTGTTTGTAAATATTTGTTTGCATTTGGTTTTGCATCATGCTGGCTTTTTCAGTGCACTTACAATTTCATACTCACCGTCCCAGTGCTATCTTCTTTTAAGTGTTGGTTTTCCCTCTGTTGCGAACGTGTTATGTTTCCTGTGGCACTGCATGGTTGTGCTTTTCAGTCCAAAGCATGAGCTTCATTTTCAACATCACTTCTGCATCTAATATAGAAGCCAGTTACATGATTCACACCGCTATCAGCAAGAATGGTTAGATGTAAAATATTTAGGTTATCTTTTCTGTTCTGGCATTTATTAATTTGAATATAGTGTATCAGAAATAACATGTAACTGGCTTGGGGCATGTTTTGATTAAATGTCTAATGTGCTGGTATCTTTCTTATTTGCATGGAAAAAAGTGGTGGTGGTCTATTTTTGCTGTTTTTAAACAAAACACAGTGTACTTCAAAGTTTAATGTCAACGAAAATGCATCCCTTGTAATCGCCTAAATTTAAAGAATCGATCTACATGTATTTTATCTCTGGTGTCAATCTGCAAAGCAGCTTGGGTTTTGTTGTACAGACATGGTATCTTTTTCTTTTGCTCCTGCTGTACCTATAGCAACTACCAGCCCCACTTCTCCTAATCTCTGCCCCCTGGCTGTTCTGCTCTGACCGCTAACCAGCAGCAAAGCCTACCTGAACACTCGGGTTCTGCTCCTGCATTCATCCCCGCTTCTGTTTAACCATCATTTTTGTTTTTTTCTTCATTCAGCCATAAAGAAGAATAATATAACTAAATTTCCAAATGTACACTCGAGGGTAAGGATTTCTGCTAGCACACCGGTGGTGGTGGATGAAACACAAACCTGGCAAGCATCCTCTTTTTTTAATCTAACTACTCCATCTGTACTGAAACAGTGCATAGGCTCAAATATGGCAAATAAGCCTGCAATTCAGATATTGGTGATGGTTTCTTTTTCCCCCCTCAGTAAGTAATTGTAATATTGCATGGCTGCTGTAAGAGTACACAAAGACAGTTAGAGGAGGTTTGATCTTTGCAAAATATAAAGGAGCATTTGATCAGTCACCTGCAAAAACAATCAGTTGCTTACATTTTCCTTTGTGACAATCAAAGTAAAACCCCTTGGAAAAACTTGACAATCAATTATTCATTTTAGCATTTCAGCCTTCTCTGACAGTTGATTGCTCACACGTCCTCATGTTTGTCTAACCCAAGCTGCTTTGCCTGACTGATGCCTACAGTAACACAACCAATCATTTGGCTTTTGAAATGTACAAGCTGTGTAACTTGGGCCTTTTATTTCCTCTCCCCCCCCGGACAGATCTTCGAAATCAGCCCTACAGGCGAGCCGACGCGGTGAGGAGGAGCGTCAGGAGACGCTTTGATGATCAGAACTTGCGCCCAGTGAACAACTCTGAAGTCACGATGTGAATGAGAGAACAGCACGTGTCAGGAATGTGTGTGTGTGTGCGTGTGTGCGCGCCATTGCATCTTTGTGAAAAGTAATGGTTGAACAAAAGCCAAGAGCTAGTTTCAAACCGGTGGGGCTGGAGGGTAAAAGGAGTCTTTGTCCCTGAATTCGGGAATCTAGCATTTAGAAGCCAAGTGCCTAATTCTGATTAGAAGGTGTTTACTAGTAGCAATATGACCTGATCTGGCTTTAATTCTGTTCCAAGTAATGTTGAGCTTTTTTTTCTAAACTGGACACAAATGTCTGTACAGAAAATCCTCAAGTCTTTCTTTTGAAAGTTCAGAATGTAAGGAACATGATTCCTGGTGTTGAGGGGTATTCCGTGACATTTACTATGGAACTCCATAGTAATTGTGTAATACATTCCGGTGCTATTGTATTTAGCCTAGGAATTAATTTTGTGCTTTAGCTGCATTTTTTTTTCATTAGCTTCTCCTTTTTTTTACTCAAGGGCTAATGATTTTATTTATTTTTTTAAAGAAAAAGTGTCCCGGTTCATTCCAACATTTAATACAAATCAATTTCCAGGAGCAGAAGTACTATGACATATAAGGGTGAACTGTTTCTTCCCACAGTCAAAGATTTCTGAGCAAATATACAGCAATTCCAGAAAACTGAAGGGACATTCCGAGGCTGGGCTACATTTTTTTTTTGTGAAATGACAAGGTTAATGTGAATTGTATATACTGTAGGCCTCCATACTAAGGTATTAACATCTCATTTATCAGTGTTATTATGGTTTACATGGACCAATACAAAAAAAATGTACAGTTTCAGAGATGAACTACTGAAGTAGAACTTAAGTGCTCAAATAAAATGCAAATAAAAAAAAGGTATGAAAATGTGAACCTTATAAATACATACCATATAATGAAATGATGTGAGAATTCGGTAATGATAATTAGAGCATACTACATCCTGTTGTGCCGTATACACTATATATGTTGAATACAAAACACAGGCAAAGCACTTAAGACTTCTTAAGTAGTTTATCATGAAAATGAATTCTGATTTTAATTCTCTTAAGATATGCTTTAGCTAACAACTAAATCACCTTGATTGTTTTTACTCACCATCTTTATTGTACAAGTTTAATGTATAGTATTTAACCACTAATCCACGTTCATTCAGTTTTGCTCATGTGAACCACTTGGTGTGAGTGGCATTTGTTTTTGATAATGTGTAGTTATGTTAAAAAAAAACAAAACAAAAAAAATTTCTAAATGTACAGATATTTTGCTACGAAATGGGTGCAGTTTTTATGTTTTTTGTTTTCTTTTTTTTTATAATTCTTTTTAATCCACATATTAGCTTATAGTTAATATTGTACATATTGTTTAAACAAAGTTTGCAACACTCTCTACTATACAATCTGAATGTTTCTTTAACTTATAGTTTTTTTGTATATTTAACTAAAATGACAGTGAACAAAATTTTGGCTTAGCTTTAATAGATTGATCCTAGATATTTTTAAGAAGTTTCACAATGATGTATTCTGTGTGCTAAGCAGAACATGCCAAGATTTTGTCTTGCTTGCCTGACATTAAAATGGCATTAAACCATTGATATTACAGTGAAACTTACAGGTCATTTGACCCTAAAATATCGATTTCGCATGTGTGTCAGCTTATTTTAAGGAAAAAAAAAGGTAGGTTTGTGAATTTCGACTTTGCAACAATTTCATCTCTTTAACTGGATAATATTGGCATGTTCTTCAGTAATGTATTTTAGGCGATACCTGCTTCTTTGCAATATTAAACATTTTAATAACGCAAGTTTCAAATTAGATCTCTGGTTTCTCCATGGCTATGTTCAAATAAACTATTTACACTACTATAAATGCAACGTTCTGTCATTTTTAAATCAAGCTTACAATTTTTGGATATGAAAACACAAGGATTTCTTAGGTGATCCTGTAGAATGGAGCTCTATCAGTGCTGGGTAGTCGTGAAAAAACCAAGATGTGTTCAGATTCTTGCAATAACCCAAGATGCTTCACTTCTCCAGTTTGATCTTTTAGAATACTTTCATTCTTTGATATTTGGATTAGTCGTGCAACTTAAAACCTAGGATATAGTCCTGAATTTGGAAAATGTACACTATTAAATTATTTTTATTATAAGCAGTTGTAAAACCTGTGTAGAACTGGCTAATTCTTTAAAATATTTCAATTCTCTGTCTTAAAGAAAAACTAAAATCTCATTGCCATGTTTTAGTCACCAATTTGTATTTTTTTAAAATGTGGTAGTATATGATGGGAAATATTAGTGTACATTTCTTGTAGGGCTTGAAATGGTGCACATTTGTGAAGTTGTTTTTTTACAAGTTTCTGGACAATCTGGCTATCCTTCTGTTTCTGACAAATGTAACAAACTGCTTCTAGGTACTCTAAACACAGTTACAGAAACTGGGTTAATAAGGAGCATCACTTGGAGCGTGGTGGTTAGCTATGCTACAATTCAACTATGTGAACATGGGAGAACAAAAAAAATGTTCAAATGACACCCCCGATCATTCACCATAATACTAAATATTTAGGTTTCAACTTTAAAAAATTTTGAGCATACAAAACCTTTTACTCTATTGACCGTTTACTATATTGATTTTGTTGGCATTAGTTTGAATAATTAATCATTCAGATGTCAGATCACAGGACACTCAATTGACTGAATTGCACACTACACCTCACTAGTGAGGAAGCAGATTTCAGGGCTGAAGTGATTTATTGTGTTGAATGTCAAGTCGGGTGAAAACAGAATCTTAGACTTCTCAAGAAAATCCCTTTGTACCAGTAGGTTGTTGGAGGTTGGCCTAAAGTACCTCAGTGCGCTGTTGATCAGTCAGACGTTTGTAGTCGGCAAGTTCTAACCTGGCAAGATTTAAATGGCTATTGTAATCTGATAATGACAGGTGACAATCTGAAGCTGGGGAATAGGAAGGCCAGGAGCTCTTGCCCGCTCCAGAATTCCATTTGCAGTGATTGACAGTAAACTGACTGATAATGCTACACTGATCCAAGTCCTCCTTTATGGTCTTTCTTATGACAGCATTCACAAAAACACATGAAAATCCCTTTTATGCCAATAGATTGTTGAAGGGAATGTTGAAGGCAGAATGTTCATACTGCTCATGTAACAGCTTGCTTGTGAGAATACACGTCTTATGCAAAGGATACCCAACTCATCAGCTTGAACCCCCCTTGAACATTGTGAAATGAGCTGATATGTGTTCTAACCAGGCCTTATGAGATACCAGTGAATGAGTACCTTTTTTCCAGACCATAAAAGAGGAATGAGAATATAACCAGCTGCAACCAGATGAAGAGCATGCATCAAGGAGGTACTGCTTGCATTACTTTTACCAGTAGCTATATGACTAGCTTTCACTAGTGACCTTCACTGTAGACCCCTTAGTTGATGCCAAATATAGTCCGCTTAATTGTACTTATGTTTATAGCATAGTCTGCACTTAACTACAGAAACCTTTTTCCTAATAACTTTTGTTGCAGGTGTAACTGCTTTCTTTTGATGCTCAGTAAATATTTATACTGTACTGTCAGCCTCATCACAACTTACAAGTTAGAACAAGGAATTACTCATGCCTCAGGTGCATTAGAAACTAATAAATCATCTTCCCTGGTTTTTACGAAATTCAAGATACCATATACTGTACGTACTTGGGAAAGGAGTTACTTATGTGGTGTTTCACATAAGACGACAAAATGTTAATTTTGTTATGATTACACAGGATATCACTACAACTATGAAGAAGTATTAAAATACTAAGGGCAATAAGTGCATAATGTGGCATCTACCAGTACTGTAAATATAATAATATATTCCCCACTAAAATATAATTAGTGGGAGAAGGAACTGGATTTAAAACATTAGAAACCGTAATTTAAAATAACTGCTTGATCTTAGTAGAGTGAACACTACAAAAATTATGAAGGACCAATTTAGTGAAACTGTCATTTTTTTTATTAAAGAGTTTGGATCAGATCATTCATGCCAAATCATCAGTGCTTTATGTATACTTAAAAAACGGGCAAAACATTCTTAAAAAAAAAACACTTTATATAATGCCTGATTGTTTCTATTTGTATGATTCTATTTAATAATGTTTCACATTTATACTAAAGTGAACACCATATTACAGAAGTGCCCAGTATCCTAAATTGCTAGGTTTATTACAACAAATGAATAAAGGCCCTCCCTTCAATGTTCTGTTAAATACAATAGTATTTTTAAATTGTAAAAATACCATAGGTGTTTCACTGCATACCAAAAGAGACATCTTGAATGTAAAACAAAATAGAAATAATATTTTTAGCATAAAGACTGGGATATCGCTAAATAATTTCAAAAGGGTGGTCTTACTGAAGTGTATATTGCCAGAGTATGATCAAGTCAATGGAGATGAGGTTTAATGTTGCACATATGTAGTGGATTGGACATGAATCAGTTACTTAAAAATCTTGTATAAATGGGCTTGGCAAGGACTTGTCTGGACTGATGAGAAATTAAGAGAACAACAAAATAATCTTTGAAAGCACATGGGTAGCAAACTGAACTAGTCTATGCTCATATCACAGCTTTGTACCATAACCATTTCAGATATTAAGTTACGCTCATCCCTAACAATTATATACAGCTACCACAACTCAAAAATGTTGTTTTCAATTAGTTAAACTGGAAATATTCTAGTTTCGAACTAACGTTTAAAAAAAATACAAAAGGTTGTCATTTTTCATTAAACAATATATTCTGAAACGCATCAGTTACACTTTATGAACCTACACTGAACATAGATTAACAAAAAAGTAGAAAATGTGGATGGATTTCCCCTTGTGTAAGGAAACAATATATTTAACTGGTAGTAGTTCTGTTTGCATTGTATTCTTGGATTCATATATAGCTATTACAGATCACATGAATCCAGTGGTTTGCTAGAGCAAGACAAGCACATATGGGATGGGATTAAAAGGGGAATCGTAAAAATCCAAGGAATTAAAATGTAAATGAGCTCAAACAACAACAAGACATCATGGTGCATCCAGCTGCTCCAAAAGAGTTCTCCTCCGTTTCTCCAGTTCTCCTTCACTCAGTTCACTGCCCGAAGTGTCCCATCCACCCTAGAGAGCAAACAAAGCAAGTGAAGATCAAAAAATAATTTTAAACATAGGGCAAAACTCCCCAGAACAAAACACCTGCTAATCTTTAACACAAAGTTACCACATTCCATAGTACACATTCAAATTAACTTGCATATAGGCTAATTAGTCCTTGAAACTAAAGTCTAAAAAGTCAGGTCATCGGATATTTGGACATCATACAAATCAGATGAATTGTGTTAACAACAAGAAACTACAGCTATACATAGATGAACACTATACAATGTAAAGTCATCAGCACAAAAGTCACATTAACGTGTTTTCACAAATAAGGAACCACATTTAAAATGCAACATGTAAAACTAAATCAAAATAGAAATTACCATTGATGTAGTATGAACCCACTACACTCTGTATCTGGGGCTCGCCATTAGGTTTAGTGCAAATCATTTGCCACGTCTTCAGAAATCAAAATGCTACAAAAGCTTTGGTTTTTAAAAGTACAATCAAATTACAGAGAAATGTCAATAAGGTGATATGTGCCGTATGTAAGCCATCTGTTCATGTTCTGATTTAATATTTTTAGCATTATTTTACATAGGTTAGACCACATCTAGTGTAACTAAAAAGTGAATTTAAAATTGCAGAGGATATAAAAGAGGTACATTATGGATTTCCCGACACCTGCTGTTTGCTGGATGTTTATGAGAAAATGAGCAATAGCGGAAACAGTTCATAGATTATTTTTATAATGGTAAAAGCAAATAAAAAGCGAAAGATGTGTTTGTAGAAAAATATATTGTCTATAAGACCATATATGTGTATATTGGGTTTCAATTAGGAATTACTGGTGATCCTTGGCAAAACCTGAACCAGGAGCAGTTTTTGTCTATAATAGCATCTAAAAATGCACCTAGGAAATACAGCACTTAAAGAGTTCTTAACAATCCCATAAACAATTCAGAAACCATTTGCCAAGCATACACTTAGTCTAATTCCCACTGATGTTAACAGAGTAAGTGCCAGTACTCAGTATTCAGTGTTGTACTTTTAATGTATCACTTTGCACATACAAAACAAGTGATATTACTGTAACTTCGTAACAAACAGCATTCACTGTGCTTCCTCTACCTATGTTCAATTTATATTTAAATAAAATATTTTTTTCATAAATGTGAATGGGGAGCCAACATGCTTGATTTGTACAATAGGTAGCTGTTGTCAAACAGCAATAGTTGTAGAAATGAGTTTTTCCAATTATCATTACAGTCAGTCTCAGGGCGGAGTGGTGGCTCTGTGGTGAAGGATCTGCACCTGTGGCTGGAAGGTTGTCGGATCAAATCCCGCGGCCGGCAGAGGAATCCTACTCCGTTGGGCCCCTGAGCAAGGCTCTTAATCCCAGGTGCTCCAGGGGCACTATATAAATGGCTGACACTGCGCTCTGACCCCAAGCTTCTCTCTCCCTGTCTGTGTGCCTGTGTGTCTCATGGAGAGCAAGCTGGGGTATGCGAAAAGAAATTCCTACTGCAAGAAATTGTATATGGCAAATAAAGTGATCTTACCTTCTTATGTATGTAAAACTGGTGATAGTGACAGAGGAGTTTCCAAGTGATATTGATCACTAATCTCAGATCCCTCAAAACATTAAAACCATGAACTTTACCTGTGTATATACATTATACACCCATCCCTTGGGTTTAAAAAGACTATTCCTCAAAAACTGTTAGCAATGGGAAATTAAAAGAAAATTACCACCATTTAAGACCACATAACAAGATTAAAAATAATTTAAAAAACAAATCTCTCCTTTTCAGTCCTATTACTTCCAGGTTTTACAGCTAGGATAAACGCTTTCCATATTTTCTTTGTTTAGCATTGGCAATAAAAGCAATGGCAATAAGTTCTGCTCCCATCACATTACAATTATAAAGGATTAAACAGGTTGTTCAATGATCAAAATAACTAAGCTCACATAGTAAGTAGCTGCAAAGCAAAGCGCCTTCACTATGGTGAGAATAACTTCACACAGGAAAAAAAATTGGGATTAAAATACACCCCGCTTTTTTAGTAAAAATCTGTATAAACAAGCGTTTGCACAGCTGATTTATTTTTACCAGTAACAAAAACATAGTATTTTTTTTCCAATGGAACAGATTTAACGAGTGTACAGTAATCACAACAATATTTAAAATAATTCTGGTACATAACGCTAAAAATATTCAATACTAGGATGATTAAGAATTTAAAGTTTTGCTATACTGGCAAGATGCAATGACTGCTAATTGCATTTATTGTTAAAGGAACACCGATAACACAAAATGCTATATCATGGTTGTGGCTAGTATTTCTATAATTTATGGTACGTATGGCCCGCTTGAAATACATTTATAATTGTACCAAATAGGTTTGAATGCTCACTTACTGATCAGCAACAAATGCTCATATACAAAATTATATACCCCACACAGGTGTTGTATTTATTATTGTTTTGTCATTGCTACCTTACTGTGCAGATCTGCACCTATATAATATAATGCACATTACTGTGTTATAACAGGGCAAGAAGATTAGGTCAAAAAGTTAAGCACTTTTCCAGTGAAGCCTTTTCATGTACTGGACCTGGATTAATCACTGGTATACGAGATACCATGTTTACAAGCTTTTTAGAGTAACAATGATTGAAAATTTTCACACCAACAATGAAAACATGACAGTAGCAGAAGTTCCACCGATCAGGAACTTACTTCCTCCTTTGTAGGCTTTCTCTTCGGAGATTTCTGCTTGGATTCCGAACGGGATTTTCCTCTAGACTTTTCATTCTCCTTTTCTTTTTCCCGTTCTTTTTCCTTGTCACGCTCCCTGTCCCTCTCCCTTTCCCTCTCCCGTCCCTTCCTGTCCCTTTCACCATCGGACTCGGGTGAGGCCTTGAAAGGGTAAAATAAAAAAATATATAAAACAAGCATACAAATACCATGCTGCTTTCTTCCCAAATTGATTAATGGTTTCCGAGTGATACTTCACAGGGTTGGGGAAAATAATACAAGGGGGAGACTTACAGACTTGTGGCGCCTTTTTTTACCCTTCTTTTTGTGCTTCTTTGATTTCTTGTAACTCCTCTCTAAAAAACACAGGTCAGGCAATAGGAGTGAACAAAATGTAGTCAACTGAATACTAAAACGTAGCAAATAAATAACCACCTGGGATATAATTCTATATACAATGTTTTTAAAGTTGGCAAAACATATTTCGAGTTGCACAACTGTCACAATACAATATGTTTAAGAGGACAAACAACTACCAATGCATACTGCAGATGTCCAAAGACTACAATGCAATCGACTGAAATATTGCATTTTATGTTTTTTGTAAGTGATTAATAATGATATTACTTTAATATGCTTTACATCTTGTAAATGTTTTATTTACACTTGAGAATTAAAATTCAGAAGCAGGTAAAATTCCTTTGACCTAAAACCACAGCTTATTTTCTATTATTACATGATCTACTAACAGCTTCAGAAATAGTGAATTACTATGATCTGTAATGTGAAAGAAAACTACACGGCCAGTGTCTGCATTTGTCTTGAAAAAGATGCATCATAAAATGTACTACATATAAATCAAGTCTATAACATCACTGTAACTGAACTGAAAATATTTATCACCACGTCAAATATTTTTATATTGCCATTTTTTTATTAGTTGTTTTTTTCATATGTAACTTGCATTTCTGAGTTTCTCAGGTAAAGGAGAAATAAGAAATCAGCTGCAATCAGAATTTTCACAATGCTATTTTAAAGCATTTTAAATCAAATTACCCGATTCAGCACTAGAAGAACGCTCAGATGGGGATTTGGATGGAGATCGCTTCTTTTTCTTGGAATGATAGTCATCATCCTCTGAATCAGACCCCTGGAATAACACAAAGTCGGTTTCCTTGAGAAAATTAAGTTTTGGATTCGGCAAAGAGAATAACTGAAATTAAAATAAGATCTTACTGAGCGAGATCGGGAGCGCTTCCTGTGGTGCTTTTTGGATTTTTTAGAATGCTTCTTGTTCTTTGAATGATGATGCTGGCACTCGTGCTGTTAACAAAAAAACAAGTCTTACTTTTCAAACTAAGCACAATAATGTATGTTAAGTACAAGATTTCTAATAGGTTACACATATATAGTTAATTAAAAAATTATTTCCAGCCAGGCAAGTGTTCCTGATGATGAGAGCAATGTCCAAATGAAGGAAAAAAATAAGTTGATTTTTTGACTGCATAGTATTTTCGGGGAATTAAGTACCTCTAAAACATGTATGAAATCTTTAAATATCCTTCTCCTTTCAGATTCAAGTGTTATATCTTCAAAGGCTGATTCCTTTATAAATCGGTCTCGAACCTAGGTAAAGAAACAAACAAATGAATTAATTATGGGTAAAAATCAACAGAACCTCACTTCCAAACTCCAATATAAATTAAACCACAAAAGGAGATGCTTTACAAAGTCATGTTGAGCAGTGCATTCAAAAAGATGGCCGCTAGAACAATATACTATATAGATTTAGTCAACATGGAAAGAGTAACTTCACTCTGTTAAAACAAGTGTCAAAAATTCAATTTCCAAGACCATTAAGGATGTTTAGATATGATCTCACACTTAATATATCACATACTTTTTCCCCCCACACACATAAAAAGAATATCATCCAATACAGCGAGATGAACACTGGCTTTCCTTTGGCATGTTAACTCGTGGATGGAATGTTTGGTATACATTTAAATCATCACTTTAAGGTTAATTAAAAAAAAAATCACACTTGACTAAATGAGTAGAAGCAAGCTTAGACAAAGCTGCAAGGAAACATACGCTCTCCCACACTGAATCGGGCTCGAGTGGTGGGGTGGCCTGCTTTAACATGCTCTTAAAAGCAGCTTCTTTTCTTTTCATCTTGCGGGCTTCTTCCTTCTCCCTCTCTCGCTCTCTTGCTTCTGCTTTCTCCAACAACTGAAACAAAAAGGATTTCCACAGAATACAAAGTATTATAATCCACTTTACCACTATAATCTGACAAAGTATGTCAAGAGTTTCACACTATATTCATTGGTTACAAATGAGATGAAGCCAATTGGTCTATCAAGCATGTTTTTGCAGCAGTTAAAGGATGTTATTCAGTGGTATTGTGAAAGAGACCATGGTATTGGCTTCAACAACATGGTTTGTTTGGTATCCCAATTCACACTACCACAACACTTGAAGTGAAAAGTGCTTCCTGTAGGTTTTAAAAGTACTTCCACATAGTTTTCACTTCACATCTTGATTTGTTTTTCTATATGCCTTTACCAAACAAAGAACTAACCAAAGACATTCCTTTACAACAAGTTAAAAATACTAGGAAAGGAATAGGTGGCCAAATTAATTTTCTTAATTAATTTACCATTATAATTTTATTAATAGAACGAATCTAAAGAGTCGAGAAGGTTCTACTTTTATAAACTAAAAAAGACTCAAGATTCTATTTTAATGAATTATCAGGTATTCTGGTCTTGGTAGGTGTGACATAGAAACCATTTAAGCATTTAAAATGGGCATGTAAAATTCTTTAACCGTCAATGTAGAACTATGAAATGAACACGGGAGGTTTTAAAAAAACTTGAAATATAATGGGTTAGTCTTTTTTTCTTACACATTTCTGTTTTAAATGTTACCCCGACTCTCGGCAGCAACATACACAAGCTCCTTTACTGTAAACACTTTGAAGGCTTTTCTGGTTATTAGCAAGAAAACAAACTTGATTTTTCCATTATCCTAAGTTTATTTGGATGAGGACGTGCAGGGCAATTATCCAACACGTACATATTTCTAAATATTAACTCCTTTTTTGTGCATAAATGAATTGGCTAATATCTGATGTGGCATGGTTCATAAAGGAATTGAAGAGAAAGAATTGCAAATTTACACTGTTGAAGGCGAGTTTGATGTTTCCAGCATCAAGTGTTGTGGCTCGTTTATCTGAACTGATAACGGTGCCAAAGTCTTCAAAGCTGGTATTGACTTCAACAGTAAATCCTTTGTCCTGCAAACAGAATAAAATAAGACTACTTTAACGGTAAGACTGGACAACAGTATTTATTTGATAAAAGGGGATTAGGGTCCCAATCCAGGATGCAATCCAGTCTTTTGCCATGTGCTTCCAGGACCAGCCCCAAATTTCCAAGATCCTGACGACTTTCCAGGTTGATTACCTTGAGTATGTCCTTTATAATTCTTTTCTCGTCATGATACCGTGCTTTTAAATCTTCAACATAAAACTTAAAAAGATCCAGTGGTGTAGTACCTAAGAACAAACATAAACAAGAGAAATGTTAAGTTCAAGTTTTCTGACCGAAGCCCTAATGTAGTTTTACTAAAACTGTTTATTTGTATTGATTTTAAAAGAGACAAGTGATAAAATTAAGCACCACATATTTACTATTTCTTGATTATAGTCCATGAGCCCCACCACATCTTATTTATGTATTCCTCCATTTGTTAATTTCTTATGTGTCTTATGTCACATAATACTGGCAAAAAACAATAATCAAAGTGTTTGGCTTTTCACAAAATAACTTGTGATCAACTTGATTGTATTGGTTTCTCTAGCTTGTTCATTTAATGGTTCTGTAAATTAGTGACTCAATAACTGTAGCAGAGAAATGCCTTTACAATTTCAGCTTATAACACAAACACAACATTCTTACCAGGCTGTCCCAGCATGTTCGCAAATCGGATGTCTGAGCTAACAGTTGGGTACATTTCCATCCATGCAGACATCGAATGTAGCTGACCATGATCATGAAGCTCATCCAAAAATTTCTTTAAAACAAAATTGAATTAATTAATTTCAGAGAACAAATTCAGAAAACCTTTAGGCCTTCCAAGAACTACATAAAAAGGTGAATGTTATTACCCCTTTGATGCATACCAAAAACCTTAAATATACCTAATTATTAATAATACATTTAAAAGACACTTAATATATGAAACATATATAATATATATATTACATATAATATATTATATATTATTAATATATAATATGAAACATGTTTCACACTGATAACAGTGTTAAGCAATTATTTTTGCATTTTTATCATATCATACAAATGACTTGCCTAGTATATATTAGTAGAGGCATCCCTTGCTTTTCATAAACTACATGCAGCCTTCAGCTTTGCTCCACATTGCCTATCTTCGCTTACGTGTGCATTGTCTGAATAATTTCAGCAATAAGTTTACTTTTACAGAGCTACCGTTTAAGTCATGGCTAAAAAGCATTGAAGTGATGTGAAAGACCCTACTGCTGTGAAAAAAAACACTGTACATTGTACTTTAATAAGACATTATTAGATGTTATTAATAATTATTAATAAGACGTGTTATTACAATTCTATAATAGCCAAACAACAACAGTCGTAAGTGAAAATGTATCGTATAATACGTTTGCATAGCATAAGCCTTACATTTGTCGATTAGACGTATAAAAAATGAGCAGGGAAATGTTTCTGCTTTTACATTTGCTATAGCTAACAATGCGCCGTATCCCTTGGTTCCCGACCTGCGCTACATTGCTGTTGGACAGCCAGTCTCTTACCTGAAAGGCCTCTCTGTTTTTGCGGTGTCGCCGTCTTTCCCTCAACAACGACTTCTGCTTTTCCTCTTCCTCTTCTTTCTCCAGGGCTCGTATATGTTCTTCAAAGCAGATAAGAGCATCCTCCTTATCCATATCTAGAAAACAAGCAGAAGTGCATGATAAATATATTCAAGATATCAGTCTTGCTAGAATAATCGATTACCTTGATATGCCAGGAAGACATTAAGTTAAAAGCTCTGAAATTATCTGATTCAATTCAAAAGGATCAAATGTTTATAGGATTTTCTTATGACTTAGCCATTTTTAGTCATCATATAGATGTTTTTTGATCAAGAAAAAATGACTGTGCTTTTAAATATACTGGGAAAGCTGTATGCAAAAGACTGTGAAAAATCTTATTGATTAGTAGCAGGATACCCAGTACTCACATCTGCAACTCAAGAAACAATCATCAAAATAAATTATTTCAACCTACTCTGCAGTTCTTCGTCCTCAGCAAATGTAGGGTTATCTAGCAGGTACTGCTGTGCCTCTGACCACGTTGTACGATACGTTACATTGGCCATGTTGTCCAAAATATTCTTCAGGGCTTCCCAGTTTCGCTTTCGTAACTGCTTTGCTTGTTCCTGAAAGTTATGTTTTTTATAGAAATTAAATAATCGATTCTGAATGCATTTTAGAAATGGCAGACAGACAAAAAAAAATAATCAGTTACCTAATTCTGTGCAGACCATGTGTAAAGACACGTGGTCCACACATCCATGAATATGTATTCATTTTCCAATAACCTTACAATGGGATTATTTTTTTTACATTTAATAGTGTACAAACAACAAGCACTTAATCAGACGAGGGACACTGATGAGAAAAGCAGTTGTAAAATTAAAATGGAAAAAAGTTTAATACAAAACTTTATCAAATGTATTATATATATTGCTGGCTATGAGTTATGCAGAATACATAAAGAAAACAAGTGGTTATAAATGAGAAGAGGCCACATCTACTGGTACATTTTCCCCACCTTCTCCTTTTTTGCCAAATAGAACAAAACATCTTCATAGATTTCCAGCCGATCACGCTCTGGAACAGCAGTCCATACCTCCGTCTCTCCAAACATCTGCTCAGCTTTCCTATTGTACAGATGTAATTTCATGAAAAAGGGGGCAAGGCAAAACAGTGTGGTAGAGACGTTGGTGGTGGTGGAGGGGAGTCCCCATTACCTGTAAAGCGCTTTGAGTGGTGTGTCCAGAAAAAGCGCTATATAAGTGTAAGCAATAATTATTATTATTATTATTATTATACAGCGAGACACAGCAAATAAAGTTAGATATAAATCAACCTGGATCCCAAATTATTGCATGAAACCAGTATTTTTACATATGTATGCACCATCCAAATTGACTACCCCATATCCCTATCTGCCACAAGATGGCAGTGTTGTACAAGAAAATAGCATTCAAAAATGTTTTTAACGAAAATCTAACTTTAATCCATGATTTGTATGTTTTGCAGATTTTTAAATGTAATTGTTGGTAACCAACAATAAGCATACCACTTAATTTAAGAATACAAATGTTTTAATAAACTCCCTTTTCATATTTTCAAACAACTCTATTTATGATCTGGCCAAGGTACAATAATCCAGATTGTTAAAATATTTCCATACAGTATATCAAAAGAACACTTTCAAAACTTGTAAAGGGTTTAATCTTGACTGAAATTATAACTTAAAACGCATGTGTTAATGCGCACACACACACAATTTCAGGTGTATGGGTGATGTTTCACCAAATGTTAACTAAAGCACATAGTGTGATGTCAATACAATGGCACCATGCCTTTAAGGAACTGCAACCAAGTTCTTTCAAAATGTAGTCCTTTTCCCTGAAGGCACACTGCCCATCCCATAACTGGATCAAAACTCCAGTCAGCCTACTCTTTAAAACACAGTTTGAAATGCACCTAAATAAGTGCAGGACCTTTATTTGTATACTCAAACCATATCTTACATGCAGGGTGAAGTCTTAATGCATCTTAAAAGCATAGCTATTATTTTTTGTTCCCCCCCAAACTTTCAATTACTATACATGTTAAGAAAACACTATTTGTAGAAATGTGAAGCAGGATACCAATAAAATAAAACACACTTTACAAGGTGCAGTATCAGTGAAGCTGTTGGTGTATTGGTGTACAACACTGTTATGGTACTTTTAACGCAATATTAATTGTATGATCCTGTGGTCATCTCTCAGCCTGTCTCGAAGAAACAATGTGCAGCTGTGCACTAAATAAAGGAACAGTCAGCTCCAGGAAACAAGCCTAATGACCATGACAATAATATGGCATGCACAATTGAAAGACAAGGTCATGAGCATACATTTTTGCCCTCAATATTTATTTTTTCCCCACAACTGTGTTCATTCCAGCACTGGTGAAGGTAAAAAATGCTCATAAGATATACAGAAGTTTGCATACCTGACATACTGTTAATAATCACAATAATAAAAGGGGTATCTGTTTTGCCTGTGAATAAAGAGCTATATTCTAACCATAGCCAAGACCAAAGAAGGTAGGAAGCTTTGGTGTGCAATACTGAGTTTAGAACAATTTTGGGGAAAAGAGAATGCCTCTAAATTTTAAATGATAAAACATTCCTTAGTCCTCAAAACCAAATGGCCAATACCTAGAGTATAAAAATTGAAAAAGGTTTAGGAGCATCATGGCTACCCTCAGAAACAACCACTAAATGCAGAACTAGTGGTTTACTCTATTGTTTAGTTTACTCTATTAAACATTACTATTGTACAACATTAACAACTTCAGTTTTCAATTTCAGATTTGCATAATTTGTTTCTGAAACTACTAGAGAATGAAAGTTATACTAAACTAGAAATGGAAGTCCAGCCTCTTTCTGATTTTGCTTAAAACCAAAAACAATCCTCCAGCTCATTTAACTATTGCTTAAATATGCCCACATTCAGCATTTATTTTTAGGATCGAGTCATATGCAGACATCTCATCAAAAAATATATATACACATTTATTTAGAATAGAGATATTGAGACTTGTCTTCATGCACAATTTAACTTAAAAATTTTAATATTAGACTTATTAGACTAAAATTATATCCAATCTTATTGTTATTGCGGCAATGTAATCATATTTCATTGCATGTAATGCATTTCTAAATAAATTGAAGTAATTACAGATATTTATAAATATTCTGAAGTGGGCTTAAAGCAGTCTTTTCGTGTGAATATTGAACTAATCTCATAAATCAATCCAGAAAGCAGAACTAAAGGAGAGAGGAATACCAACAGACAGCTTCTATTGCTATGGGGAAAAAACTAATATCTTGTTCAGAACCACTGTCAGAAACATTACAGGAAAATGTTTCATGAACCAAGAATAAATTCTAAGCAAAGGCTAAGGATTTGAATTCTGGTAAAATTTCTGTGCTAGGTTGAAAATGTCAGAGGAATAATGTAAGAAGCCATAAAACAGTTCAAACTGAGATGGCACTAACCTAATTAAGTAGAAACAGATGCTTCTAAATTCTTCATACAAATTCTCAGCTTCTTCTATAATATTACAATACTATTTTATACAATTTTAACTTATTTTATAATATCATTTGCCAGCTGTGACTTAACACTGAAGCCCGTTAGGTGTAAACAAATATGTATTAAATGTGCTTGAGTTTTCAAACACACTAACACTTACTTGTATCTAGTAGTTGATGTCATTTTCTCATGATTTTCCAGAAAGCGCTGAAATGTTTCTTTGGACTCCTTGTATTTAATCCTAGCCTCCTCCTTTTCTTCCTTTTCAGTTTGTACTTTGTATGCATTAAAAGCCTGCTTTTTTTCACTCAGTTTCGGCAAAGCACTTTAAAACAAAAACGGCAAATGATTAACATTTTGTAATAAAAATGTGCTTTTCTGAATGGCTACCAAAACTAGCAAACACACGATACTTACCTATACCTCGGATCGTTAATAATCATTTTCATGGCTTGCTCCCAAGACGCATTTGATGAAACACCCTACAACAAATTTCAAAAATGTAAATATGTACAGATCATAAAAACATAAAATACATGTAAAATGTTAATGTCTTAGCACAAAATATTTGGACATTCCATGTATACCAAAAAAAAACATTACACTTTTTTTATTGAATGAACTTTTATCTTGTATCATCTGTAGGATTTATACACCACAATCCAGTATCCAATGCTATTTTTCCTCCATTACTATGAACAAATCAAACTTTATAGCTGTAAAGGTGTTACTTTTTAAAACATTTCACAATACTCTTAACTTGAAAAAAAACGTTAAATGGAATATTATCACCTAGGTGTTAAGTGTAACATTTTTTCAGTGCTGTAATACATGTATGTGCATGCTGTATAACGGCAGTAGATCCCCAACTATACACAGAGTATTGCAATACAAATTATTACTATAATTGTTGAAATTCTCTTTTTAGCTGATGGGATTATTACTGAAGTATTCTGAAAAGCCCACCTCCAGAAAATGGCAAGTAAGGAACTATCACTTACATAAGTGGCCTTTCCACAGGAGTAGCAAGGCTCCACAAAAGTAAAAATAATTGTCACCCCAGATGAAAAGCCCTTCTCTGTATAAATTTTTCATCATTGAGCAATTCAAATTCACTTCAGCATGCCGCTCAATAGCCCCAATCTGGGCCACGCTTTCATGCCAATACTTCTAATTATAAAAACAGCAATTAAGGTCCCTATGGAAATTATGAAACAATCCCTAGGGGCAGCTTCGTAAATAGGACTGAAAAACTAAAAATAGTGGTGTCTTCTTTGAACTCATTATTTCTGTGGAAAAAAGGAGCAAGCCACCTAACCTGAAAACTGAACTGAAATGGACAGGATAATGCAATTGTTGAACTGCACCTATGTTCAGATTCTATGAAAAAGAAATCTAAAATTACAATTTTGTGACTAACCTTACCTGCCTTCCACCTTTAAATCATAAACTGTCACAAAATACAATTTATTGAACAGTACTTTTTCAGTAACAGAAAATTCCCCTCAAAGAATGTAACAAATATGAAGAATCTAACTGCTGTACAATATAAAAGGGTTACATTTCCTTCTCCTAATTACTTTATAAAATAAAGATAGTTATACAAGTACACAGAATATTTTATAGCTTGTTTACCCATTATCCCCATATCAGCAGAACAAATCAATTGGTTCTGCAGCTGGCCTTCAGACACAAGCACTTCAATATGCAAATACAAGAGAGAAAGAAGACAAAACCAGCTGCAAGTTGCATATTACCTTTTCTTTTAAGAGTTCTTTAAATGCTTGTTTGGCTTCCTCCTTTGTATTCCATTTGTACGATTTCTTGACAAGCTCCGGTCTCTCTTCCTTTTTAGGAACATCACTATTAAGATAAGGAAGAAAACTTAATTGAAATAACAGTGCTTATGTCCAGTTTCAGTTCTTATGATTGGAAATGTGAATAATGAACAGAAAAAAAACATTTGATAAAAATAGGAAAATCTGAGCAACAAACTTTGCTGGAGTATCCTGATTAGGGGTTTCCTCTGTAGAATTGACAGTGGTGTCTGTACTTTCTTCAGTTGTCTGCACAGGCACTTGTGCTGGTTGTTCTTCCGTTACAACAGGGACTGCGGTCTCGGTATCTGCTGTTGTTGTGGAAACCGTTTCTGTTTGAGGCGCTGCAGCAGGGACAGAACTGGCAGAAACATCCACCGTCCTGAAAAATGTACAAAACAACTAAATATGGCACCTTTAGTTGAGATTTACAAACTTCCTGAGACGTTTATTCATAGGTAAGTGGGCAGAGATGGATGCCCATTTTTTCCATTCTCCCGTGTACGGTTGCAGGGTTTAGAGTTAAGACAAGAAACACGTAATTGACTATTCCAAGCTTTTGGCACAGCTAAACAACAAATCGGCAAAAGAATAAATGAGTGCAGATGAAAAAAGGAGAATATATTTTTTGAAGGAGCACATCAAATAGAAACCACGTTTCATGTACAAACCAATATCATAGCTTACAACTTTGTAGTTTTGTTTTAATCGACCATTCACAACCGGTTTATTAATTTAGCAATGCAGATTGTTAAATCCACCCAATGTTAAGCAAATGAACAATTGTTTTTTTCAAATCTAGGCTCAAGATCGCACGTCCCGAGAATATTAAGAATATGAGCATTATTCATTTCATATTTAAAATGTTGTTCAGGAAATATATTAGAAATACAATTTATTTCCAGTACTAAAAGCACAACAAATCAAATAAAATCAGAAATATTATCAGTCTTTTGAGGCCCAGCTGCTTTGGAATAATGTGCTTGGAGTTTACCATCTAGCAAATGACGTGACTTGTAAAAAAGTTGCTCTCTCCCTCTCCTTCTATATGACACAATATTGGTCACTCACCTTGTCCCCTGGTGCATACAATACATACAAACAAGTAGTGCTTCATTCACGTCTTTAAATACCATTATATTCATCACTGTTTATTGTATTAGAATACTTCTCTAAATAACTGTTGCTATTTATAACAGTATTTAAAGTGGCATATTCACTAATTTCAACATTGATAAGTCTCCTTTAAAATATTGAAGCTGCTAAGTATCACTTCGTTATATTACATGCAGACTTTCTACATCTAATATGAATCTGAAATCTTACAATATAGGATACAGCCAGTTTTAGAAATCAAAATTACAGTACAAAGCAAATGCTGTTGTATTAAAAGCTATAAATCCTATAGAGCTAAGAGCTATACTAAACTTTAGACCTTAACCTATATTATTGTTTACTCCAAACAAAAAGGATACACAACTGAGCTACATTGTCAGGCAATGACAGACAGCTCTAAGCAATACTTAGAGTCATGATGGGTGGCCAACTAAGTCATGATGGGTGGCCAGCAAGTTTCATAAGAATACTATCATCTAGGTGACTCTAGACAGTATTCTGCTATACATCCTGTACCACTGGTGAACATTAAAGTCTGGATTCAACCACGCTCCAGGTTTCAGGACACAACCTGGTAACTGTCCACAGGGTTTTGCCAGATGAGCCATTTGTGGACATTGTATGCTGACGTATATACGACTTAACCACATGAAAGATTAAACTAATCCGATCTTTAGTGAACATGCATCCTGCACATGTTTTTCTTCTAATAAACCTCAGAACCAAAATAAGCATTATGTCAATGCCTGTATGAACCGGAGACCATATCAATTTTACCATCTCCATCACAAGAAAGAATACATAGCAATAAAAGGAACGTTTTGAATGTTAAGTATAACATACCCATTTTCTTCAGCTTTGATCATCTCTGCAAAAAAGAAAGTGAATAAATTACAGAATACTGCACTAGGGGACAAATGTTATTCAATTCATGTGACATGTAGTTTGATCTGATAATTCATGTGAGAAAGGCTTTGGAATGGTCAAATTAAATAAATAACTTTTCACATAAAATCTACACATTAATTTATTGTATATCTAATCTGATGTTATGCTCAACCGACGTTTTCAAAGCAGAACTAAAGGTTCATAGTTTATTTACCTTCCAGATCCTCCAGCTCTTTAGGTTTGGTCCAGCGAGATTCTTTTGTTTGAGAATTATAATAATAAGGCTTCCCTGTGTCCGACTTATATTCCTTCCAAGGACATTTAGAAAGCAATTGCTGCAAAAATACAAATAATATACTTACATCTAATTCTGCTTGCACAAATTCTAAAGCAAAAAATTCATTTGCAAAATACTGAACTGAAATACTGAATCACTATGCTGTTCAAAACTTTGCTGTAAATGGAGACTTAACTAAAAAAAAACTACAGATGAGAATGTAATTTTTCATTTCTAAAATCCAATCAATGTCAATCTGAAGCATTTTTAGAATAGTTTTTATTAGCAAAACATACACTGTAAATTTCTACCAGCTTAATGCAAATATTATTAACCCACAGATAAATTACCTCTGCTGGGGATTTAAGTTCATCTGGCTTTTCCCATGTGGACTGTTTTGTTTCAGTGTTGTAGAAATAAGTCCTTCCATCAGGAGATTTGTGCTCAGTCCACACAGATTTCTGGGATATAGACACACATTAGAATTATAAGCAAGCATAGTAGAAAGTATTTTAATTGACTCAAAATAAGTAAATATAAAGTCATTAAACAACTGAACATTGAAATATCACATTAACATAAGCATTTTCTTGTTACTGTAATGTAAATTGTGTAAGTGTTGTTTCGAGGTCTTAAAATAACGTTCTTTTCTAGTCTTCGTCAGAGAAAATAAATGTGCACCAACTGACAACCTCCTTATTACTTTTCAGTTCCATTAGGACCCTTTAAAGAATGCAATGAAGGATTTCTATCCATTCTAATTACCTAAAGAAATCTAAGCACTACTAAAATATTACACTTGTGATGCTCTTATCAAGTTATAGTGTGTGACTTTGAAATTAAAGAAATATGTATCAGTTATGCTGATCCATGTGGCAAATAAAAAAACTGTTTTATAACACTGGAATAAAAGTACTTGTACCTACCAAACATTTCAGAGCGGCAAAAATTAGAAGAAATTAGAAGGATCAAAATGCTGAATTTAAACAAAGCTGTGAACTTTCCATGTTTTCCTATATAGATTAAACAAAAGACTACCACCTATTGTTTCCGGGTTTTTTATTTCTTTTTAAACAGAACTATTCTTACTGCAGTATTTTAACAGAATAGATCAGAAGGACATGAAAAATAATTGTGCATGGCACAGTGCTAGGGCCAAGCAGAATTTACTAAAGAAAATGAGAAATTACTGAAATCAAGCACTTGCTTGCACTACTAATAGAATTATAGTAATGTGGTTCTGAACTTAATCTTTTATTCTAATTAAAATACTCATCCTCAAAATCTCCTACACACGCAAACAAACCTAACCAGGCTCAAGTTCTCCTAACCTTCTTTGGTTGATCATCCTGTGGGGAACTGCTTGCTGCTGTAGCTTGCTGGACACCAGAAACAGCAGGATTTGTTGCCTTTTTAAAAACAACAATGTAAGAAATTAATTTCTGTTAGAGATTAGAAAAATAACCATTCAGTCTGAGAATACTTTGAGCTTTACACACTTACCATTTTTGTGGTTTCACTATGTGACAAATTAACCTTCCCACTTTTACATAAAGTTCAATAGCTAAGCCAGTTCCTAAGTGTTCAATTTAGGAATCTATTACTGTCAGCACTCACTGCATGTCAGTGTCATCTATTTGCAAAACGCTAAACACTGTTAGGACCTTTTACATCTGTAATGGAATTCTTTAGTATAATACAGCTAGACTAGCAAAACTTAACATTCACAAGCTTTTAGAGCACATTACAAGCAGCACTAAAGTTTTGTTAACCTTTAAGTACAGTTTAAAAATATCACCAAAATATCAGTGTCTATTATGTTGCAGTTTCAATGCAATATAAAACTGTGGTTGCACTGCACGAACTGCAGCTCTTAAATCAATTTTCACAAATGACATGACAAAGAACAGGAACTACTGTCATATAATGTAATAGACTATATGAACACAGTTAATATGGCTTGTATTTAAAGTCTTGATGAAGATACACATTTATATCGGTCAAATCAATGTATCAGGGCAGCCATTGCTTAAATTAGAAAGCAATCTGATTATCCTTTTGAGAAAGATAAGATACTGATTACTTTAATACATCAGCTTCCATTGATTATAATTTTAAATACTTCTCAAATAACTCACTTACCAAAGTTCCAGATGCTGTTGACGCTAGAAGAGAAGAACATCAAAAAGGATGGTTATAAATAGGTCACAAATCTGAGCTTAAATTAAGTAAGAAAATGTATTTAAAAACATCCTTACCAACAGCAGTATCAGAAGAATTTACACCAGGCTGTAAATAAAAGAAGAGTTAGTTACGTAACAAAAAAGATATCCATCAAAACGCAACCCAGCCTCTTAGAAACTGCATGTCTTGTTTCTTACGATTTACAAGTAATCCTACATTGCAAGATTGCACATTAAATAACCATTTAACATCCATTGCAGGTTGTGAAGAGTTTCTTTCAACAGCTACATGCCAAATATATAATTTTTGTAGCAAGTTAAACGAATCTGCTCGTATATGAAATATAACTGCATCGTGTATCAGAAACATGGTCAGCTTTGAGGATATATGTACTGTATAACCAAGAAGGGCCTCAGAGTTAGTCATACTGCCATTTAGGGTTCAAATTACAGGGGAGCTTGATGAGGGCAGGTGAAGGCTGAGCTCACTTACCAAATACATATGAGAGACACCATAAGGGTTAAGAACTTTTTTCCCAGCTCAAGTGAACTCGAGACAAAATGACCCAGTATAACTTACAGGTCTACAGTGCTCTCAATGATTTTTCTTGTGCTCACACTTCAGCAACAGAAATGTGCATGTTGCACTCAATGGGATGCTCTTTTATTAAAGTCTTTGAATTGTTAAAAAGAAAACTAAATTTTCAATTTCACAAAGACCTCAACCTTGTCACAGAGAGGATTCAGACCTGTATATGACATACAGCCTGTTAAGTGAAGATTTCATAGCAGAAAAAGAAATGGGAAAATAGAATGCACGTTTAAAGAAAAGCAGCATTGAAAAACTATTCAATGGAGGAATAGTGGAAGAGTACAGTAACTTCGCACTCCTCTTCACCTAAAGGGGTATTGCCGTTGCCCGTTTTAAATGCTGTAAAACCACATAGTATAAGGAGAAAACCAAACTGAACTGTTCCTTGAATACAGGGCTAGGAACGGATACCTTTCATAACCCTGCTGGCTATGAATGCTGGTGTCTGGACCTGATCTCTAACTTTACATCCATGTCTTATTCAATGGATCCACACCTATTTAGTACAACTGGTGGCCAAGCTTGACAATGTGGGTTAAGAAGTTAGTTTCTAACAGTAAGACGCGGTAAAAGGAATGAAAAGAATTCTTGGGTGTTTTGCAATGAAGGAAAGCTAAGTACAAAGGTTATTCAGTTCAGCTATCAGAGGAGTAGTTGAAAAAGAAGAGATAACAGTATAGCTTGAGCTCTAGCGGCCTGTAAAACATATCTATTTTCGTGTTCTCCCAAGCGCATTTTTTACTTGTAAAGAAATTGTTAAAAAAATAGACTCCTTTCCTATTTTTTTCCCTTTCCTTTCTTCCCTAGATATGTAGAAACTAGAAGAGTTTGATTCTGCTCCACTGGCTACAATGGTCACTCTTATGGCGCAATCAGTATAACAAAAACTCCCACTGTGGTACCTAACCCCTTTCATTTTCTGTTATAGCTTAGAAATGTATTTTTTCTTCTTTCAAGGACATGTTTTTTTCTGATAACGAAAAGATCTTTTTGAATATAGGGTGTTCTTGCCCTTATTGTTTGAGATGGAGCTGCTGTTGCTGGTGGTACTACAGCAAAGCTAAGAACTTCATCTCTCTTGCCAACACCACTTTTGCTTAGCAGCTGGTGCTCTGTATTTATTGTTTATTCCCAGAACTTAACTTCTTCAACATTGGATATAGTTTAAGATACAAATGATTAATTTTTCTACTTTGTCCCAAAACATGCACATGCTATGTGTTCTAGCTATTTAAATTTGCTGAGATTGAGAAATAAAGATACTTATTAGATTGTGATACTGGACTCTCACTAGAATCCATAAGATGTTCATAGATCTGCATTCCTCTTCTACAGAGAGTAACTGGGACATTTTGCTTTATTATGTTATAAAATTCTATGCAAACAAATTCTACATCTGAGGAGATGAACTAAGCATAAAGGCATATTTTAAATCTAGTATTTAAGGAAAAGGGAACGTTTTAAGCATATGGACTTATGATTTTCAAACTAGATTTTTAATGCCTGAAATTAAAAATGACAAATAACCAATAAGTGGAATCTGCTGTATTAAGAAATCTGATCTGTGAGTAGCAGATGTATGACAGTCATTTAATCCCCTAGATCACGGAAATAATTTTATTTTTAGCTAGGCATTAAACAGTCTGTGGTACGGCATGGAGAGACACTACTTCACATTGTTTTTTTAATTTTATTGCTTCTCCTTTCTTTTATGTTCATTGGAGGTTTGGTTTAGTCTGGATTCTCCTGCATCTCGGTCTCCACCTGAACATCAATCAAGACTTAATTTATTCTGGGGTACCTCTTAAAATGTTGGATTTGCAATTTAACCCTATAATAAAGTAATAAGTGTATGGCTTCTCTTATTTTGAAAAAGGATGGCCTTCTGGTGCTTTATGACCTGCAGTCTTGGCAAGAACATCTGAACAGCTACAAATGAGAGGAGGCCACTTGGCCCACACAGCCCATTTTGTAGTATGTAGCTAATCCAAAGAGTTCATCCACTTATTTCTTGAAAGATGTAGCTTGTTCCATACTCTCACAACCCTTTTGGGTATCAGTGCTTGATTTTAAACATACTTCCGCATAGTTTCCACTTGTACCATTGTGGTTCATGTTTCACTGTTGTTTCTGAAAATGTTTGTTGGATTGACTTTGTCAAATTCCTTAGAGGATTCTTAATACTTGCATCAGGTCTCCTTGGTCTTCTCTTTCTGTCAGCATAAGATACTCCCTTTAGCACCAGAATCTATTCTTTGGACTGATTCTAGAGCAACAAGATATTTTCACTAACATGGCAAATAACATTGTACACAATATATTAAATACTGCATCAGACAATTTTACAATTCCCTCCATTGTTTTGAATTCTACATTTTAAACTGTATATCCTTCAATCTTACTCTTCCCACCTACTCAATATTGTCTATAAGATGTAAACGTGTCAACATAAATATCCAAGTCTTTTTAGTCAGCAGCCAACATTCGAGCTCAACATTTCTCATTTTTATTTATAGTTTGTTTTTCTACCTGAATGCAAGTCCTTGCACTTATCTACATTAAACACCTGACAGTCATGAATTTTATGTACATCTTTCTGAATTTTATTTTCTACTTCTACAGTTTTTGCTACCCTCACCTAGTTTAGTATCATCTGAAAACCTCACTACTGTACTAATTATACTTGAATATATCTCAAAATAGGAAAAGCAGTGGTCCTAGTACAAACACCTGTGGCACACCGCTAATTACATCACTAATATAATCATGCTGGGTCATTTTTCTTATCATCAGTGACCTGAATCAGCTTTTTTATTTTGACCAATTTTTCCTTTCAGAATTGCTTTAGGTCAGTACTATTTACTGAATCGAAGGGTTCACAAACGTATTCAAATACTTACAGTTGAATTATTATTAAATCAAAGTCAGAAATGTACCTTGTATTTAATCAATTTATCTTCATCTTTCAATAATAATTGTATGAAAATGTTTTATCCATTAAAATATATATTAGGTTTTCAAACTGCTTTTAAAAGCAATTGCTTGTAGTTATATCACCTGTATGAAACATTCACAGACAAGATCTTTAACCCCTCCCAAAAATCTAAATTATGTTTACTGTAATTTACCGTTTTTTATAACAAACTCACACCCACAAACATCAAATTAAGAGGTAGAATTATTTGTAACGATCTGATTGAAACCATTGTGTAACACTGGATGTGAACAGGAAGAAAAGATTATGTTAATCTCCTCTGATTACAGTTCATCTATGCAATGGAGGTTTACGAAATTTCTAACTTCATTTCCTGTTCTGCAGGTCAAAAGAAGACCCTCCTGGAGAAAATTAATACTCCACAAAGTATCAATGTCTTCTGGAGACAGAACACATCAAACTAGGAACATATTCACTGTTATGGTGTTGTATGGAAGAGGAAATGCAAGAAATTAATCTGCACATTTTATACATTCTTTGAACAAGAATACCAGCCAGTTATGTTTGAGTCTATCACTTGAAAATGAAAAGTGATGCTTATGTACCAGTTTCACTGATTCTTTCAATGTAGAATCATTTAATCTTTCAATTATGCGGGGATTTACACAGAAAAAGAATGTAATCCCCTAAGAACCTCAATTGTAATTTAAATTTAAGTTTTTTTTCTTTGTACATTTCTTCCCTGCAATACCAACAGATGTGCTTTCAAAGGATAAAAAAAACATCCTTTCTCTATATTAACTATTAATAGAATGTTGAACTAGTGAAAGAAAATATACCTTAAATAGTTAAATTGCAAACAAATTCAATTAGTAAACTCAAATTATGCAGTATTGACCCAACAGAAATAAAGAGGATGGACATTTCCAATTCCATTAAGGATAAGATACTGGATAAAAGGCAAGGAAAAACTACTTTGAAGTTTGTGGTAAGAGAATTGTAGACCTAGCAGATCTCATTATGAAATACATAATAGTCCAATGAACGCCTGACAAGAAATAATTTACAGAGTACACTTAAGGCATAGTTTAAAAGGAAATGGGGTTTCTCCAAATGCAAAGTTTATATTACAATTAGAACAAGCCCATCAACAGCCAACAACAAAAAGGGTGAACCAGAAATTATCATATGAAAAACGTGAGAAACAATTTGAGTTACAAAATCTGACATTGAATTAGCAATCCCAACACATAGTTGCCATTTATCTGACTTTTTATTATTATTATACTGTGTGTAGATTGAGAGGTTTTAAAAAACAGATGCTACTGATTCCAATTTTCATTTTAGGAATTTTTATGGCTGTGTATATATTACACCATATTGTACTTTCTTGTATAAATACATTTTTTCATAAACTACACAAACATCATAAACTACTAGAACATTTTTCCTTACAAAGCTTTACACTTTCCTTTTCTAAGCTTGTTATCCATATCAGTTCATTTTATTCATTTTGCTCTTAAGCAACCTGAAAAAAAAGTTATTTTTAAACATCTAAGAGCAAAATGAGTTACCGGTCCTGTAGGTTGCAATGGAGCAGCTGGCATACGAGGTGGCATCATCATTCCTGGCATCATTGGTGGCATCATGCCTGGCATCTAATAAAAGAACATCATGAAATATTCATCTGACCTGCTAATTTGCAGTCGCACTTCATGCACAACAAATATAAAAATAAACTCTGGTAGAGGCTGTAACGTGACTGTCGTACCCTTTTAAAGCAATAGACCTCAATCTGTGCTGTGAGGTACCAATTGCTATATCAGCACAATAAATCTTGTGGATTTGCTTAGTGTAAAAATGGCTTAATGTACTGCAATGCTGTTTGTATGTAAGAAACATTAAAAATATCATGTGCTGTTGTTCTGAGAAAGAAAATAAACGTTTCTATATACTGTATATAATATATATTAGCTTGCAGCTATATCACCCTGCAACTTATAACTGACAACCCACTGAAGCTAAGCAGGTGTGAGCCTGGCCAGTACCAGCATAGGACACCTCCCAGGAAAGTTAAGGCTGCTGTAAGAAGAGTTGTTTGTGTAACCAGTAGGGGGTGCTCAACCTACAGTTTGTGTGGGTCATAATGCCCCAGTAAAGAGGGTCACCGTATTAAAAAAGGCGCTGTCCTTCAGATGAGATGCAAATCCAAGGGTCTGACTCTCCGTGGTCATTAAAAATTCCCGGCCAAATTTCCCCCTGGCCTTTAACAATCATGGCTTCCTAATAATCCCCATCTATGGATCTAGCTGTCCTCCTCCCCAATGATAGCTGATGTGTGGTGAGCGGACTGGCACAATTTAGCAGCAGTTGCATCATCCAGGTGGGGCTGCAGATTGCTGGTGGTGGAGAGGAGTTCCCATTAGCTGTAAAGCTCTTTAAGTCAAATGTCCAGAAAAAGCACTAAATAAGTGTAGGGAATTAATGATTTCAAAACTGACGACCTATTAGTAGCAACCATAATTTGCCTCCCTTTTGGAGCAGCACATACACATCCCATATCTGTAATGATCGCCAGCCAGCCCACCCACCCTGCCACAGATCAATCTTATTTCAATCAAGTGAGAAAATGATTCTACCATAAAACAGACTGCCACTCTTTCTCCTGTGGACATCAAACCACTTAGAAGCGTTGAAAAAGAAACAGCAAATTGAGTAACTGCAAGTTGTAGTTTAATGCTCTAAATTTAGTATGAATTTTCAATCAAACGATGTCCTGGCAGCTGTTGAGAAGGTTTTGCCTTTTGACAATAACGGGATGCCCAAAGTTTGTTTTGCATATATTAGTCAACTGTAGACAAGTACAATAACAAACAGTCCCTTTCACTGACACTGAACTATGTTGGATATTAACACACTGTTAATCATGTAGTACCTTCTACATAGGGTAGGGTCTTGACATCTACAAATTGAACATTTGTGAATTCACTGATTGTGATTTGATCTAGCCAACCAGGTCTTGAATGGGAGAAGAACAGAGAGGGAGGAAACGGCGCTAAAGGTTGTTAAGAGCAACTTTCAAATTAGCCACGCAACAGACTAGGAATTGCAAGACAAATCTAGATATCTGAGTGAGCCTCTCCCTGCCCCCTAGCCAAGCACCCACATCTGAACATGGTCTTGTTTATGTATTGTAACAAATACTCCTGGTACTGGGTTGGCAGCTTGGGGCTCCCCAACAATGGCGACAACTGGCGACAGCTGCAGGCTCCCCAACAATTTCATTGCCCTTTTCATTACAGAAGCATACCTGATTCTGGAATCAGAGGAAGGATTCAGGTTATTTTAGCTAATTACTTTGTTTAGTTGACCAATGTTATTTATACTTAAAGTCAATGTATTAGTATTATATAAAGGAGGGTTACTTTCAACCATACATACTGTAGCACATGATACAATGGGATGGGTTAGACTTGATTATATGCACATTTGGCTGTTAAAGTCAGTTTTTGGCACCGAACCCTTTTTGATTGTCGAGCTCATACTGTATGTAGTGCTCTGTAATTCACAAAAGAAAAAAAAACAATAATTGTATAAAATAAGTCTAATGTAATAGCTCAGATTTGTATTCAATAACAATAATTAAATGTGCATGTGAGAAATCTTGTGCCAAAGTACAATTTATTTAAACATGTACGGGTTTGATTGCAATTGTGTCAAAATCTCTTTGCATTACTTTGAAAAAGTAAGTTGTGGCCTAAAACATTTACAAATGTTGTGAAGGAGGAATCACTCTAGTAAGGTCACACATGAGCATACTAAAAGCACTTAAGCAATGCTCACTCTCTCCAAAAAAAATATATTTGGAGGAGAAAAGTCAATGATCATGCTAACAATACTGTAAACACAGTACACAGGCCAGGTCTAAGGAGGTGTCTTAATGACAAAAACTTAAAATCCTTGTCAGAAATGTTTGTTGAAATGCACTCATCAATGCTGATTCTTTCTAACCCCAAAATATAAAAAAAGTGTTGCAGTTGCCCTTTACAACTAGACATAAGAAAACAAGTGTTAACATCCTAGTGAATCTTTTTCCCCCCCAAAGTTGATTGAGCAAAGTTGTGGCACAGTGATTAAAACTGCCGCCTCGCAGCACTGGAATGCAATATTCAAACCCTGACCTGGGGTGCTATCTGTATGGAGGTTGTATGTTCTCCCCACATTCACAAAAAAAAAAGGGCGGAGCGGTGGCTCTATGCCTAAGGATCTGCGGCCGTGGCTGGAAGGTTGCCGGTCCAAATCCCGCGGCCGGCAGAGGAATCCTGCTCCGTTGGGCCCCTGAGCAAGGCCCTTAACCCCCAGCTGCTCCAGGGGCGCCGTACAATGGCAGACCCTGCGCTCTGACCCCAAGCTTCTCTCCCTGTCTGTGTGTCTGTTTCTCCGTGGAGAAAAGCTGGGGTATGCGAAAAGACGCATTCCTAATGCAAGAAATTGTATAGGGCTAATAAAGAAACATTATTATTATATTACATGGGTTTCCACCGGGTGAACATGGGGAGAACATATAACCTCCACGTATATATGACCCTGGCTTGCGCCCGTCACTTGCCGAGCCAGAGTCCAGGTCCTCTGAGACAGCGGATCGATGGAATTAGAAAACAGACGGATGGAGGGATTTAGTAAAGTTTGCAAAACAACCACGACTGTTAGGAGAGGGACTGAATGAAAATAAAACATCTTCAGGCTCTGAGGTGCTGTGTTCTATTTAGGAAACTGAAAGGAGCATTATATTTCTCCCACCTGTCCAATTGGTGGCATCATCGGAGGCATCATTCCCGGCGGCATGGGCGCCATGTTTGGAGGTCTTTGCCCCATGGGCGGCATTCCCATGGGAGGGAAGTGAGGTGGCATTCCAGGTGGTCCCATCTTAAAACACACAGAAGACAAGACAAGAAAAACAAAACCGGTAAGAATTATTTTATTTTCCGCTGTCAAAGGGAAAAAGAAGAACTAAACTGAAACACTCAAGAATAAATGAACTGTCCAACACCAACTTACAAATGGCGGTGGCATCCCTGAAGGTGGGACACCTGGGAAAGGTGCCGCTTGGCTCGGGCCATTATTACCATCTGTTGAAGACTGTCATAAACAAGAAACTCCATACAGTTATTACTGCATGTGTCTACGCTGGAACACTGGGAGGTACTGGAGTCAAAACCTGAAACAAGTATTGTAACTCAAAGCCTCCCAAAAAAAAATAGCAGAGTTAGCTATAAAGGAAAATCGAGATCAGTGGTTCAGAACCATTTGTGCAACAGTAAGAAAGAATGCCCTAGATCTGCATATTCAAGCAAATCATTTTTTTTCTGTAATTCACGAGTATTTGAAGTTTTCACTAAGGATAGTAAATGTTTTAAAGTCTGTCCTACTTTTAAGAAGTATTTGTGGTCAATCTTATGCATCTGAACCTGAATGGCACGCTGAATACTGTATATTTGTCCAAACTGGCTTCTAGTCTTTGTCTAGATGTTAACTACTCCTTCATTCAACATTACTACTGTTACACAGCAGTGAAGTAGAACAGGGAACACAGATGAAAACATGGCCATTTCATTGTTTTTTTTAACTCATTTAAACTACTCAAGATCACGTCTATCAGCATTCTTGACATTGCCTCAGAATTTCCCATATATTGCGAGATCAACAAAAGGCACGACTAGGTACGTTTCTTTACAGGTCTCGCAACTGAAGCAATTGCTGAAAAAAAAACATATACCGTCGAAAAATATGGCAGGATTGAATGTTAATGATTTAACATACAATCATCGGTCACTGAAATGTATTAAAAAGCTCATTTGCAGCTACATATTAAATCTATATTAAATTTCCAAGCACCAAAACTGAGTTTCTAGGGCAGTCTATCATTTAATCAAGCTCATAGTACTATCTTAAATCTCCATTCACTATTTTAATCCCATTAACAACTTCCAGAACTGTTTCGATTTGTTGATCATTTCTGGTTTTTCAACGAGGGGCTGCACACTCCTAAATTATAGGATTATGGGCTCAATCGGTATCCTCGCTTTGCGCATACACCCCCCACTGACCACCTCTGTGCCAATTTGATGGTAAAACCTTACATAAACGACAGGGACATACCGCGAAAACGTTTCTAAGCAAATGCTGTTTTTCAAAAAACTATCGCGTTCATAAGAGGCCCACACATTATGTCGAGTCACTGCAGTTCGGAAATTTATTTATCTGCAGTCTCGGGCCTCCGTAACCATTATATAGAAATACAGTCCATAAAAAATCATGCACATCCGAGATTTCCGAGGGAAAACACCCTTTCTATTCAATAAAGGGGTCCCCTGAATTGCAGGAAATCCCTAACACGAACACAAACGATGGTTAAGCTTGTAATGTGAAAAGGCAAGGACTGATTTTCCATTTAAATAAATAATGACAGAGATGTTCACTCCTAGTATCTGTTGTTATTTTTTGTATATACCATAAAGTCTGCGTAAAATCTATGAAAAAGTATATCACAAACTTTACTCACCATGTTGGCTGTGTACTCTGTAACCCAACTTCTCCACCCGGCAATAAACTGCAACACAATAGGCTCATTCGCTCCGGGTTGAAAGGGCAAAGTTAAAAACTGATCGAGGCCATTTGTAGTCATTGTGTGGCTCAATTGAACACGCTTTGCGATGGATTGACATCGAAAGTAGCCAATAGCAGCGCCTTTTACAGCAATAACGGTTGTCAGGATTGGCGGTTTGCGATATGAGTGGAAAATGGTTTCCGTATGGTGGAAGGATTGCGGAAGTGAGCGCCGCGATGTTTTGAAAGAATGAAAATAGCAACAGGGAGAGAGGGATGAATGTAGATCGGTGATCGGAGCATGATGTGTAGTGTTTGTAATTGCTTTCTTTGACCGTGTGTTAGCCCAGACTGTTATAAAACAGAAACAGAATCATTCAAAAAAAACATTCAAATAAAATCAGGAGCCTATGTAAAATTTCCTAGATGGCTAGGTAACTTCAAAAAGACCTCCATTACTTAACTTCTTAGGTTTTGTTTCTATTTTTATTACTTCTTGAAATCAGAACGTTTTCATTTTTTGATTAAGGCGCCTTTGGTTAATTACTGTAGTCAGTCCGGCAGATCAGTTGTGATATTGCTGTTTTAATATGCCTCGGGGTGTTAGACGGGTCAGCGCTCATCAGGCAGTTGAAGGGTCTGATTCTGTGGTCTGGGAATCAGGCAATGTTACGCGAAGTCTGGACGAGGAATTGGAGACTTTAGAGCACCCTGCTAGGTTAGACGTAAATTCGACTTTAATGATCAGCCGCGCTCCGTTACCAGCAAGTTCAGAGATGCCGTTGCGCACAAACACGATTGCAGTACCTCATAAAAAATACTTGAGAAATGGAAGACAGTGGCCAGCCAGAATATTTTCAATGATTTGTTGTTTAGTTATATTTTCCGCCATTGCATTCCTCTTGGCGATCTTCTATGTTATTTTAAAAGGTAACCATCTTGTTCTTTTTTGTATTAATTTTCCGCCTAATTTGAAACACAGTTTCAACAGTAAGGGCTACAGTACTAGCTTAATTGTTAACCTTGTGGTAGCAGTTGAAAAACATTTTCTGTGGTAGATTCAGATTAGATTTACTTTCGCATTCAAGACGCGAAAAAGCTGTATTTAATCGGGTTTATGTCAATGTTCTTATTTCTCAGGATTTATTTTACTAAATATGGCAAAGACTGCTGGGTGTATCGTGCATGACATCAATGTATTAGTATTGATTAGTATAAGTATAATGATGGGGTATAAAATTAACTTAATCTACTGAGTAATTATCTCAACTCTGGGTCATGTCTTACTTTCATAATTTAATAGCACGAAAAGTATGTAAAAACCTGCCAAAACCACGGTAAACGAATTTCCCACCGTTTTTATTTATTTTTTTCATTAAGAAACTGAATTATAACATCTCCATGCAGACAGCAATACGCTTTCGTATACTATGTACAATTAATGTCACGACGTCACGCAACTTTACGGAAGCAAATTAGCCTATCTTACCCTTGTTTTTAGTGCCAACTTGTTTTTTAAGGATATGTCTTTTTAGTACATAACGTTAGTTATGTAGTATAACGTTACACTTTGGTACATTTCATTCTCTTTCAGACTTGCGTTCAGAGACGTTAACAACTGAAGACGGCACAGAGATAAACCTGTTAGGTAAAAACCACTGAGACAACTAATACTTCAGTTGAAATAACCGTAGTTCTAATGTCCTCTGATTTTGTATGTTTGAATTTAAAACTGACCCATAAGAACAAGCATGCAATTCTCCATGTGTTCTCGGTACCAGCTATTTTCTTTCAACTAGTGCCAGCAGCCATATCACCCTGCAACCCACTAAGCAGGTGTGGGCCTGGTCAGTACCTGGATGGAGACCTCCTGGAAAAAACTAAGGTTGCTGCTGGAAGAGGTGTTAGTGGGGCCAGCAGGGGGCGCTCACCCTGCGGCTCATGTGGGTCCTAATGCCCCAGTGTAGTGACGGGGACACTATACTGTAAACAGGCGCTGTCCTTCGGATGAGATGTAAAACCGAGGTCCTGACTCTCTGTGGTCATTAAAAATCCCAGGGCATTTCTCGAAAAGACCGGGGGTGTACCCCGGCGTCCTGGCCAAGTTTCCCATTGGCCTTTAACAATCATGGCCTATGATTTGGCTTCATTACTCTGCTCTCCTCCCCACTTATAGCTGATGTGTGGTGAGCGTTCTGGCGCACTATGGCTGCCGTCGCATCATCCAGGTGGATGCTGCACATTGGTGGTGGTGGAGGGGAGTCCCCATTACCTGTAAAGCGCTTTGTCCAAAAAAGTGCTATATAAGTGTAAGCAATTATTATTATTATAACTTACTGGTTTCTGTCACCTTAAGGTTAAATAGGCATGCTGCACAGACACTACCATGCAATTTGTACATTGTAATTGTATCTTTTTAAAACACCTTTATCTGTTAACTGCTAAGTATGTGTTATTTTGATATATGTTATAATATATAATATATAAAGAATAATTTATTTCATTATTTAGATGGTATGATAAGGATAGGATGAATATCTCATTTAGGAGAAAGTGTTGTGGCGAAAATGTACTAATTCTTTAAATTTCTAAAGAAAAGCTAGAATTCCAGGACAATTAGAATGTCAGTACATGGAAAGTGCACTAGTTCTTGAAGAAGGGTTAGTGCGTGGAAGTATATCATGGGATTGTTTTCCATATGAATGGAGGTTGCTAAACTATACAGGCACTCTCACTGCATCTATTAATATTAAAGCAGTAGTTCCCTTTCATTTTGTTTGTTTAATATTAGAAAATATAGATGTAATTATTGATATCTTGTTGGGACGTCTGTGGGAGCTAGTTTTGTATGAATTGTGCATGTATATGACAATCCAGAGTAAAAAACGTACTGTATGTTAACAGTGTCTCTTAGAAAACAGTGATTTCAGAATAGTTTTGGTTTGTAAAAAATGGTGGAAAAATGTCTAAAAAAATAACATATTGTAATATTTTATATGGTACAGTAGGAGCAAATTTCACACGTTACTGAAATTATTTACAGATGTATAGAATGATTACATAAAATGCCAGTTGGGTTATTAAGGATTTCAGCTAAAAGAAAAATGCATCGGATTAAGAGCTCATGTTACTTGTGTGCAAATGCTAGAATCTTTAAAGCAATTTAAATCCACAGACTCTGCTCTGGTAAAGAGTGATGATGTAACATGGTGTGTCTTACAGAGGGTTTTTGATGAAGAACAAGGTGTGTTTTAACATTGTTTAATGCAAGTCAACCAATAAAGCACCTGGAACAAGTAAAGGTTTATTGAGCATGGAATAAATCTTTACTTTGTCCTTTGCAGCCTACGCTTGCTGACGCATCTACTATACCTGCTTGAACTACAATAAAGCACGTGAATGTCATTTAAAAGTAAAGTTATTGAGCCAAGAAAGGGTGTATGAACTAGTCATAGAGTTTTTGTACAGTTTAAAGTTGAAAAAGAGCAAAATAGTATGAATGGCCTCTAACTATTGTTGTGTTCCCATGAGAGAGAGAGAGAGAGAGAGAGAGAGAGAGAGAGAGAGTTTTTGTGTTTCTAGTGAATAATATGGATAAACGGAAGGCAAAAAAAACATTAATTCTGTCAATCAGAAGTCTTTGTAAGTCTTGGTGTTTTACCTAGCCTCTTGAGTTTTATTTTTATAAAGAGTGAATGTAAAGGTGTTTACATGACTTGTATGAAATGCCTTTGTGAGCACTGTTCAAATTTCAAGATTGTATTCTGCTGTTTATCAAAGTTCTGCTACTCACACCTCTGCCACAAATTGTTCATTAAACTCATTCAAGCTCCCCTGTTCACGTTCTTCGTGGTCTTTGAAAGTGAGAGTTTTGAAGTGCTTGAGGAGATCTTCAACAAGGGAGTTTAATGGAGTTGAAGGGATGGTGATTGGAGTGGGTGTGATTGGCAAGTCTCTTCTTGATGAATAGGGTTGAATGCAGGTTGTGTCGTTTTGTTGCAGATTCTTGCAGTTGTGCACAGCTCTTCACCTTTGCATGTTCCTCAAGGGCTGCTGTATGAGGTCATGCAGGTATTTTAGCAAACATATTTGCAGTTTCTCCTCAGCTAAATACAGCTTTCAAAAGTAAAAGCAGCAGGCTGGCTGTGACTGTGAACATCCAGGATATACTGTAGCAGAGGTTAAGAGAAGCCTTAGTTCAAAGTATTTAGTGCTCCTTTATGATTTTTTCTACCTCTACAGTATGTAGTTCTAACATTTTTAACCAGCTGGCTAAAATAATGTTTCCAATGAATGTCATCACTTGCTTTACAGGACGTTGTTTTTGTAGAAGCTGCCTATAATATCGAGTGGCCATCAGTCATGCGCAACCAGAACACAATCTTAAAACTATTTCAACCCACTTCTGATTTCATCTGTGTCAATTGGGAAACTACTGTATAGCAGAAACCCCCTGATGGTATTTTGTGTATTTTTGTTGTTTCATTCTAAATTTCGTACAGGGTTTTGGAGTTTGCTGATTTTGTCTGTGATAGCTGGGATCTCATGCTGCAGTTTCTCGTGGACCCTGACGTACTTCGATTCTTTTGAGCCTGGCATGTTCCCACCAACTCCTCTGTCCCCGGCTCGGTATAGGTATGGTGCATTTATTACTTCGGATTTCATTTTAACCTAGATTCATTGTTAAAACTCAAATCATGGTTAGCACAGGCCAAAAAAATTAATCAGCCATAGAAGGTAAGCATATCTCTTACTTCCAAAGTTTTTCTAGCGTAACAGGTGGAGATTTATTGGACTGTGTCGAATATCTTCTGCACTGAGAATGACATAACGTCATCTTCAGAATGACAGAAATACTGACAGAAATAGAAGCTTTATCCTGCAGTTTATTCAGTATTTTTGTTTGTTCTAATGTAAACCAGTATTAAAATAATAACAGAATCTACTATCATATTTTTTTCTTGTGTCTCTTTGAGGGTTCTTTTACAGTAAACCTCCATAACAGTGCTTTATTCTTAAACTGCTGTGTAAGAAACACATTTATAAACGTCTGTAAGAATAAAATATAAATTAGTTGCCCAGTGAACTTCATTTAGGGCTTAATAATAAGATGGTCTTGTCATGGATTTTAATAACTAAAGAGGGGGAAAATGCACAGAAAATAGCACAGAAAGCAAAGCTTAAATCCTTATTATATATAAAACAGTGGGTTATTCCATTATGGTTTCAGATTCCTTTAGGCAATGCATTAGAATACAGATTTGTTGTGCTTTATAACCAGTTAATTTATCAAACAATGATTACTATTAATGTTCTAATTCAGAGGCAGATTGGAGTAGAATATCAGGAAAAGTTCCTGCTTTGTTTATTAAACACTAATATCTTGTGATTATTTACATTAGCAGATTATACCTGATACTAATATGGCGTGTTCAAATTAAAGGAATGACATCATAAATTATTATACATTTAACCATATGATTTGGTACTTTTGATTATCAGCACTATGATCTGGTTGCACAACTGAGACAAAATATAGCTATGGGTATCTACTGTATATTTGTTTGCATTCACTGTGGAAAAATTTGGTTTGGCAACTACCAACTTAGATTATTTGTAAGACAACAAAATAGAAAGACTTGTTATGAAGGTGACAATCTGATTTGTGCCATGTACAAGAAATTAATGACCCCGCCTGAAGCATAGTAATAAGATGATAAGTTCTTAGGGAGAAAGACTGGAAACAAGCTGTTGTCTATGTACAGGCTTCTTTGAAAATTAGTTTGTTCACTCTAAACACCATGGATCATTGGTCTTTTTATGCTTGATCATGTTCCTTTTCACTTAGGTTTTAACCGTATTTTTTGTAGTAGGCATGCTTTATTGAGACACAAATCGTATTTCACTATAACATTTCTTTCATTTCTTTTGTTCATACATTTTTTTAACTTTTCTAAATTGCTATTGCTATAAATTACTATGAAAACTGTTTGATCGTGTTGCAAAACTTCAGCAGCTAATTTAAGTACCATTATAATTGTTCTAAAATTCCAGATACATTAAATTCACATTCTTGTTTGAGTTTGTGACATCTACATGCATTTGTAAGCAACTGAGGCATTGGCTCCTCATTTTGCCTGATCTCAGCTCCAGTGAATAGTTATAGAGATTGTCAGGAGAGCAAAAAAGAACATAGTTACTAAAGTAAATAGGTTCTGCAAGATAATCAGAACTGAATGGACAAGGTTAGTTGAGTGACAGAAAACCAAGTCAAAAGGAAGCTTGCAGAAAAAGATGTTTTGATTAGAAAGTTTTCACTAAGTTGCCTGCATAAATCTTTTCTGCAGCTTCTTTCCTTGGGAAGTACAGTATAGTATATTTTCACATATCAGAATTTAATGTTTTGTAGTACCACCTAGCATAGCATTTTTGAATTTTTGCTTGGTTGCATTTCCCAAATGGTGCACCAGGAAATGAAATATTAGGTGCAATTGATTTTCATATACAGTAAATCATACAGGGATCTGAAAAAGAAAATGTAATTTTCCTGTGACTGGCTTTCATCATTCCTCAGTAATCCTAGTGCCAGGAAACCATTTTCTTCAAAGAGTTTAGAAAATTGGGATGAGGAGTTGTAGTAAAGATCTTTTATGTTATTTTATTTTTAGTTTGATAGTTTTTCCTGCTTGAATCTTTTTTTATGAACGAACAGTTAAGTGTCTTGAAAGTTTAGCCAGTTTTGTATTCTTTAATAAAAGAATGTATTCTTCATCGTGTCTCCTTTAGGATTAGAAATGCCTTTTTATTTGAATGTGGTGCTTCTGATGCTCATTTACCTAAATCAGCTGAAACCTGAGATGTGTTCCTTAAAATACAAGAAATTACAAGAAAATAATTCAGCTGTGAATTTCTGCCAATGTGTCTTTTACACCATATTTTATAATGATCCACTTTAAAACAGTAGGACTACTCAAGAAAAGGAACTGTTTTTCAGTGGTAAATTGATGTCTGAAATTAAATGAGTTTCTCTGTGGTCGGCAGAGTATTTCTGACATTTAATGTGGAACTGGGAGTTAAAGGGCAGCTTCTGACAGTTGTGCTTTTCATAGAGGTATCAGTGACAGTTGTGATGAAGCCACTATAGGAAAGTCCATTTATCTGAAACGGGAATTTAATGAAAAAGGTAAAAGTGCTTCTGTAGAGTCAGTCTGCCTTTGCAGATGAGAGCAGCGTAGATACTCTTCGACTTCACTGCAGCTCTTCTGTTTCAATGACACAACTCATTTATCAGTTCTTTGGTGTATATTCCTCTGTGTAGCCTTTTGTTCTGCTCTCATCCTTCATAATTTTGGCTCTAAATGGGAGCATATTTCACACAAGCAGTCAGGCAAAATGAGGTCAAATGGTACACCTGTTAAACAATTTGTTGTAAATTCCTATATGAAATGTGTTAAATGATCCAGTAAATGCATGGACGTCCAAATGCAGAAATAACTTTTCCATTCTGTGTTTTTTTCAGATGTACAGATTACGCAGGAATGAAATTTATGGGCTGTAAAAACAAAAGTACAGGGTGTCCTTGTAGGTTATACATCTCTTGAGGGGAGGAATTCCAGAGAATGCAGCTAGACAAAAATTAATGTGTTTACAGTTTCAAAATATTCATAAACCATAAAGTACAGTTCATTGAGATATGTAAAGGATAGGATAATAGGATAATTTATGCCTTGTATTATTAAAAGTAATGCAAAAACAATCAAATCAGGGCCTTTGTTAATATCATGTAATCATGAGCGTACTGTACCAACATCAAATTATGGTCAGTGACTTGATTGATTGAACTCAGACAAAACTTTTTGTTTTGTTTGAAAAGCAGCCCTGCTTAGCTTGTGCATGTGTATTTCAGTGTTTCATTTAATCAATATATTGCTTCTGGCAAAAGTGCAGTGATTTAGAATTAATTTGTTTACAGGTTTGAGCTGTAATGTTCTTTAGAAAAATGAAAATCGGGGGCACACATGCCTCCTAATATGAGCACTGATTGCGAGATTGCGAATTATAGTTTTAATTATACAGCACAAACTTAAAAAAATAACACCACTTTTAAAATCAAGCATGATGATGGTTAAAATGCATATCTATTAAGACTTTCAGACTTCCTGATGTCTGTTCATTGCTCCATTTCAGCACTCCATTTAACATTGATATGCTTTAGTTTTCCACATCACGCTCACCTCCCTGTTCTAACCAATATATTGTATCTTAAGACAATATTCTGAACGCATTAGGAAGATTTGATTGGACTGAAATTTGGAATTGCAAGAAAAGGGGAGTCTTGCAGACTGCAATCAATGTACACTGGTAAATGCAGGTTCATACTTATATGGATTAGTGCTATCCTGTATAAAAAAAATCTCAGCTCTCAGAATGTTATGTTCATAAACATTTTAACCTCAATTCTAAAATACTATTATAACCAATCATATATATATTTATCATATTGTTATATTGCAGTTTGTTTTTTTGGAAGATCATAATTTTATCTTTTGGGCATCATTTAAATTAAAATGTTTTAACAAAAACATCAGTTATGTCTGACGGTGACTTACTGAAAGAAAGATTAATCAAGAAAGCACAGAACTGTATTTTTTACAGTTCAATTCATTTTCAAATTCAAAAATACTTCATTCATTCCCAGGGGGGAATTTAAGATTGCATGGACATCATTATTTAGAAAAGAATAATGTCCTGGAATAAGTTTAGTAAGTAAGTCACCTGTCAATAAATAATACAATTTTATAAACACTTGTCAATAAACAATACAGTTTTATTCGATACACAGGTTGATATCTGTGAGGTTTGTTTCTGTAAGTAAATTAAGAACATGCTTTTCTTGCAGTAAGTGCACATACATTTGTATAATTTGTCATTTTGGTGAAATTGTTTCATGCATTCAGTGACCTTTTAATATTTCATGTCCTGAAGCCTAATGCAGACCCAACGAGTTCCACAACCCATATACTGTATGTAAAAGTATTGAAGTCAACAAAATTCTATTTTGCCAAACTCAAGATCAGATTGAACAGAATGATTAGTTGTTTTTTGAATGAGTTTGGCTTAGGGTTAGGGTTAGATCTAAAAAGTAAGTATACATAATGGAAAATGTTTGATTTTTAACAAAATAATTTAGCCAATTAACCATCTAATTTATTTATCCTGGAGTGAGCCTTTTGCATTAAGTATTTGCAAATGAATGATTAGACCTCTGCTCTTTGATCTGATTAGAGTCACCATGTGTATGAAATGAAAGTGTTGTTCACAGGTTATTTTAAATTTCAGATTTACAGGCAATATTTGTTTTTGTTTTTATTTAATATTTATTTATCTGTTGACTGATTAAATAAAACATGTTTGTCCCTGATGAGTTCAACCATGATTTGAATTCAGCAACATCCGTCTTCTATAGTCATTTAGAAGATAATTTATCTCAGGTTTTGCCGCAGGTACAGGTAATATTATGTGTATTTCTGAGTAACCATGCTTTCCTGTATGCTGTGCATTCCTAGCACGATTAATGTGGTTGGGCTGCTACTGCACAGGGAGGTTCCGGTAAATATCTGATACAAGCTCTGCTC